GTTCCGGGGGTCATAGTAGACAGACTCAGCAATGGCTTGCAATGCCAAGCTGCAGCAAGCAAAACTAACTGAATATTAGCATGCATAAAAAAGGGAATTTACTCCAGAGATAAAATTAATTCTACCACTGTATAAAACTCTGGTTCAACTGCATCTGGAGTATGCCGCCCAGTTCTAGTCACCAGTCCTCAGAAAAGATGTGCAAGAGATGGACTGAGTCTATAGAAGGGCAACAAAAGGTAACAAGGGGTCTGGACCTCAGTTACAAGGAAAGGCTACACACATTAAACTTATTTTATAAGAGACATATGATAGCGATATACAAATACCTCAATGGTGGTTCTACCATAAGGAATGAACTATTCTGTCTCCGGGAGTACAAGGAAATACGGAGCCACTCAATGAAATTGGAGAAGCAATTTTGCCTTAACTGTGTAGGGGGGTTTTCACTGTCAGGGTGGCAAGAATGTGGAACTCACTTCCACAAATCGGTGGTGTCAGCAGGAAGTATTGATAGCTTCAAAAACCTCTTAGATGGGCATCTTAGCTAACACAATTTACAGCGATATAAGATATGAGTTTTTGACATGAGCACACACACCCACACAGGTTGAACTGGATGGACTATTGTCTTTATTCAGCCTTACTATGTAACCCTCCCAATACTGGCATGTTTCTTAATTTCTAAAAAATTGTGGCAAAAAATATCTACTTACCAAAAAGGGGTACTTCCAGGAGGTTTTGTACTATCCGGGCATTTTAATTTGCCATGTTTTATAAAAGAAAGGGAAATATTTATTTTACACTTATTTTGGTGGTATTTAGTTACCACTGGGATTTTTTTTACTGTTGGAAAAAACAAAACATTAAAAAATAAAAAAAACACTAATTTAGTTTCAGTTTCATGACCGTAATTATCAATCTATTACAGTGCTGAAAACTGAAAAACAGCTGGGACAGGAAGGGGGTGTAACATGCTGGTCATCAAGTGGTTAACAAGACCAGGAATGAGGAGATATTGCTGGCCTGAAGTCTGAATACAAAGAGAAAGGGGCAGGGTGACATGCAAGCACAGTAAGTCCTATTAGGAAACTAGGTGGCACAGTTAACCCTAGGGACCACGCAGGCGCAGGAGCTATCAAATCGCACAGGCGCACTAGAAACCACCAGGAGACCCTGCACAGGTGAAAAAGTGCCCCACAGGGCAAGAAACAGGAAACCATAACACTAAAAAAAAAAAGCAATCCTGGTCAATGTAGTGACCAGGCAATTGGTTGGTGGCTCCCCTGAACACCCAGAGGGCATCCAGGGTCTGAATGTTTTGGAGGATTCCATCCTTACTCACCATCCATGTCATAGAAATACTGGGGGTTTAACACCTCCTGGCCATTTGTCAGGGTCCAGTCCTCCGAGGCTCTGTCAAGGAGTCAAATGATCCAAAAGCTACATGAAAAGCTGTAGTGGATATGGTGCTGTCAATTAATAGAAGAAACATCCAGAAAGAAAAAGTAAACACCATGGGAGAAGGTAATCTTTACTCAGTATAGAGATCTATCACCTAAGGACACTAGCAAAAAACTGGGACTTGTTAAAAGTTAGGGAGGTTATGTAAGAAAAGGCCGAGTAGATTTTTTTTGCCAGTGGCCAATCACCTGAGAATAGCTGCAAAGAGACCAGAAGCAATGATCTAAAGAAACCTGCGTCCTATGCTGTATGATCAGCAAAGGTTATTTTAATGCATATCAAAATAAACATCAAAGAAAACCCATAGGAAGGTACAGGCCTATAAAGTAAAAATGCTAGAAAGACTTGCCTTAAAGTGTTAGTAAACCCAGGACCTGCAACCACTATATCTGGTCTCCCACAGTACACACAACATGGAAGCCCAATTATTTTAGTAAATATAAACTGCTAAATACCTTTTCTCACCAGAAGTTAGAGCAGTCTTGTGACTTCTATCTGTGTCCAGCCCACCACTAGCTAAAGCTTGTAGGAGTTTTCTTTCTGCTCTAGGAGGATGCAAAACCCCTGACCTCTGTCTGACCAGTGCTGATTGGCACTGTGCTGATCACATGCACTCTCCCAAGAAAAAAAAAAACCTCTCTAGCAATACACACCAAACTGAGCATCTGCAAAATGTATAGTTCAGTATGTCTTATCAGGAAATAATAAGTGGGAGCTTGAAAAAGGGAAGGAACAGAGAAGACAGGATCAAAAGAAGATTAACCCCTTAGGTTCCACAGGGAGTATAGCAAGCATGCTTTACCGCATATACAGTGGGGCAAAAAAGTATTTAGTCAGCCACCAATTGTGCAAGTTCTCCCACTGAAAAAGATGAGAGAGGCCTGTAATTGGCATCATAGGTAGACCTCAACTATGAGAGACAAAATGAGAAAAAAAATCCAGACAATCACATTGGCTGATTTGGAAAGAATTTATTTGCAAATTATGGTGGAAAATAAGTATTTGGTCACCTACAAACAAGCAAGATTTCTGGCTCTCACAGACCTGTACCTTCTTCTTTAAGAGGCTCCTCTGTCCTGCACTCATTACCTGTATCAATGGCACCTGTTTGAGGTTGTGGACAGGTGTCTTTTATGTTTGATAACAAGTTCAAACAGTCACACTCCAAACTCCACAATGGTGAAGACCAAAGAGCTGTCGAAGGACACCAGAAACAAAATTGTAGACCTGCACCAGGCTGGGAAGACTGAATCTGCAATAGGCAAGCAGCTTGGTGTGAACAAATCAACTGTGGGAGCAATAATTAGAAAATGGAAGACATACAAGACCACTGATAATCTCCCTCGATCTGGGGCTCCATGCAAGATCTCACTCCGTGGGGTAAAAATGATCACAAGAACGGTGAGCAAAAATCCCAGGACCACACGGGGGGACCTAGTGAATGACCTGCAGAGAGCTGGGACCAACGTAACAAAGCCTACCATCAGTAACACACTACGCCGCCAGGGACACAGATCCTGCAGTGCCAGACGTGTCCCCCTGCTTAAGCCAGTACATGTCCAGGCCCGTCTGAAGTTTGCTAGAGAGCATTTGGATGATCCAGAAGAGGACTGGGAAAATGTCATATGGTCAGATGAAACCAAAATAGAACTGTTTGGTAGAAACACAACTCATCGTGTTTGGAGGAGAGAGAATGCTGAGTTGCATCCAAAGAACACCATACCTACTGTGAAGCATGGGGGTGGCAACATCATGCTTTGGGTCTGTTTCTCCGCAAAGGGACCAGGACGACTGATCCATGTACAGGACAGAATGAATGGGGCCATGTATCGTGAGATTTTGAGTGCAAACCTCCTTCCATCAGCAAGGGCATTGAAGATGAAACGTGGCTGGGTCTTCCAACATGACTATGATCCCAAACATACCGCCCGGGCAACGTAGGAGTGGCTTCGTAAGAAGCATTTCAAGGTCCTGGAGTGGCCTAGCCAGTCTCCAGATCTCAACCCCATAGAAAACCTTTGGAGGGAGTTGAAAGTCCGTGTTGCCCAGCGACAGCCCCAAAACATCACTGCTCTAGAGGAGATCTGCATGGAGGAATGGGCCAACATACCAGCAACAGTGTGTGCCAACCTTGTGAAGACTTACAGGAAACATTTGACCTCTGTCATTGCCAACAAAGGATATATAACAAAGTATTGAGATGAACTTTTGATATTGACCAAATACTTATTTTCCACCATAATTTGCAAATAAATTCTTTCCGAATCAGCCAACCAATGTGATTGTCTAGATTTTTTTTCTCATTTTGTCTCTCATAGTTGAGGTCCACCTATGATGCCAATTACAGGCCTCTCTCATCTTAAGTGGGAGAACTTGCACAATTGGTGGCTGACTAAATACTTTTTTTTCCCCACTGTACAGACTGATTTTACTGTTGTGGGTTTAGTAACACTTTAAATTTTGCATTTATCTGAACATTTTGGTAATTCAAAATTCTCATAATCTTTGTGGATACGCATATTCACAAATATCACAATACTCTGTTTTATTCATGTTTAATATTGTTTTCATTTAAATTTTTCAAACAATTTCCAGTTTAGAAAACAATACATTGACCACATAGTTCCTTTTTTCATTTTATACAGTTATACAAATATTCTAAATACAATGCTGTGTTCAGGATGATGGCAAATAAGATTTAACTGTACATAAGGAAAGAAAAAAAATATTTTAAGCATATTTAGAAACCATAGAAATGTCTATACAAAACAAGCAAAATGGAATAAATCTTATATTTAAAGTATTGCAACAGTCCCACAGTTTTATAACAAAAAATGTCTTTGCACAGTTCCTCACAATGCCCCAATTAACAGCTAAAGCAAGACAGCAATATATTTTTTCCTTTTTTGATATTTTTTTTTTTAAAGTGACGGTCAGAAATGCTACACAGAAATACAATTTGCACACTCTGATCAAAGTAACAAAAAGATGTTGTACAAGTGGAGCAGAACATGGAGGACATACACCGCTTGACTGTATAAAATCCCATTGCACATTATTTTACTCAGTTGTTTCAAAAGTAAAAAAGGTCTATTTACAAAATATTTTGCACTTAAACTTAGAAACTATATGGGTGCTCTAGAATTGAACCGAGGTCTGATACTGATGTATCAAGAGAGGCGAGCATTATGCTGATCAGATTTCAGTGCCCCTTCCTAAGCTGTGTGCTTGGAAGTAACCAAAGCCTGTAGTAAGAAATGCATTTACACACTGATTCCTCTAGCTACTTCAAACACCTTGAGTATAAAAATGTATGTTACAAAGTTAAAACAAAGGAAAAAGTACTTTGTACATTGTATAAAGATAGCAATACATAGGTTAACCCCCAGCGTGGATGGAAATGAGTGTTACCTTGAATTATAGTCATTAAACAAATCATAAAAATCATGAAACAATGAAAAAACAGCACCATGCACAATAGTCTGTAGTGTGATAAACACATAGGCGATATAGCACCGGTCACCTCCTGGCACAATCTAAAACTGGTCGAGGAGTTGACGTAGATATGGAGCCTTGCAGAGCTCCCGACTCACTCTGGAAAGCTTGAAAAGTACTGGGCAGTTGAGGGACACACACTGAATCTGTTGATCCCTGCAGCCTGTGCAATTCTTGCATAACTAGAATATGGATAAGAAAGACAGTTACCAGCATGTTTGTGCAACACATCATATGCTTACAAAGAATGGAAATTCAATTTTCCACCTGTGTGTGAGCTGCTTTAAAAGGGTATCTAATAACAAAACCAATTATATACTCTTAGATTGTAAGCTCTTATGAGCAGGGCCCTCTGTTTCCTCTTGTATCAAATTGTATTGTAACTGTAATGTCTACTCTCATTTTGTAAAGCGCTGTGCAAACTGTTGGCGCTATATAAATCCTGTATAATAATAATAATAATAATATATTGCAGTTTACCAGACTTGGTGGCTGCATTTGTTTTCCTTTTTCATATTCATTTTTCTTACAATCCTGCCAGTAACACAACTCTAGTCCTAGGGTGACAACTCTCACTCACCGTACCGTATCTATACTAATTTGTGTTGGGACGGGGGGGCAGTGGTGTGTGTGATGTGAAGGGGCAGAGATAGGTGCTGTGGGGGGGGGGGGGGGGGGGGGGATGATGCGAAAGGAGCATAGGACAGTACTGTGGGGGATGATGCGCAAACCTAGAACCTTTCATTTAATGGAACAATATGCAAGACCTTTTGACAAAACAGTTGCACCAGAGAAGCAAAGGAGTCTGCAAACCGCTGAAGAGACTTTGGCAGGTTTATAAACAGGCGGAGAGGAGGAAGTGATTGAATTTCTAGCTTGTAGCTCCTTGATACCAGGTTCTGGAACCAAGCATCCAAAATGTCCTGGATCCAGGACACACATCCCCTACTGTTGGCGTGCGCTTATTGTGAGGACAATTTGATTGTGAGTTTAAAGGATTTGGGAGTCCAAGACTTGTGGTAGAACAAAGTCCCAGGTTTGAGAACTTTTGTTAGCCTCTGAAGTGGATGGTTTTCCAGACTGAGGTTCAGTTTTTTGGGTTTTTTTTCCCCTGGTGATATCCTTGAGAAAGTTGTCAGGGAATGCATCAAAAGAGGCATTCCCTATTAAAGGATATATGCAGTAATGGTTTCTTGCACTGATACTCCACAGAATAACATTTGAGCCAAGAGGTCCTCCATATGTGCCCCGATTGGAGACCCATTTTAGATATTAGGCATACAATAACTGCTAACCTAATAATGCAGTAGTGTAAGGTCATAGAATGAGTTCCAGTTATTGAAGCATTACAAAATCTGTTCAGATATATCCAGTTTCCATAGACATCCTTGGACCAGACCCCCAAGTTCTTGCAGATGGACAAGGCTGCAGTGGCACGTAACCAGGCAGAGCCCATGAGGGAGAATAAGGCTTTGGAAAGGGCTTCTAGCTATTTATCTACAAGACCTTTTAACACTGGGAGGTCCATCACAAGAACAGTCAAGAATCTTGTTAAGACAGGAAATAACTGGATCCACTACAGGGACATAGCAATTTTAAAATAACCCTTCTTTAATATGATATTGGGAAAAGCAAACCCCTGGGGGGCGTTTTAACAGGTCAGGGACTTCTAAAAGAACCGAGGCTGGTAACTTTAGAGACTGCTGACACAGGCTGCTTCAGATCTAAATGTGAAGACTATGTCTATAAGGACTGAATCCTTAAAGTGGAACTTCACCCCTCTGCATTATGGCAACAAAAATCTTTTAAGTGTAGTTCCCCCAAATATTTACCTGAGCCCTATCTCAATCAAGAGCTGTCACTGAGAGCAGAGTTGCTCTCTCTCTCTCTCTCTCCTCGCTGGACTCCGTGAGAGTTGCAGGAGCCCTTGGCTCCTGCTGCTGTCAATCAAAAATAGGGACGAGTGATCAGGAGACGGGGCCAAGCCGCACTGTGTCAACAGAAGCACACAGTGCTGCTTGGGATCGAACCCGCACGAGTGCCCCCATAACAAGCAACTTGCTATGGGGGCACTCAGAAGTCAGGAGAAGCCAGTAGCACCGGTGGGGGACCCCAAAACAGGAGCATCAAGGTTGCTCTGTGCAAACTACTGCACAGAGCAGGTAAGTATAACATGTTTATATATATATTTCATTTATTTATTTCACTTTAAGATTAACAACATTATTGCATCATTGACATTCAGCTTGTAACCACATTGAATAAACGTTGGGGCTCTGTAGCTGGAATGGAAGCCATGGAGGTGCTCAATTCACCTCTTGGGCTGAATACAGCAACCCACAAAACATTTAAAAAAGTGCTGTGATGAATACTAGCTTCTGTAGCCCTGTTTCAAAATAGCAGGTAAAAGCAATATTAAATCCAAAAACAATATTACATTGAATCTTACCAATTCTTAGACAAGTGGCTGCATTTATTCTCTTTTTTACCCTTATTTTCATTTGGTGATCCAGTACTTTTACAGACCAAGCTGTCCAGATAGCAGTTGGATGGTTGAGACAAACCATTTACCACTGACATGAGTTCTTTCAATTGTCAGCTTTTATTCATTTATATAAAATGTATCTCAAAAGGAAAAGGCTTTAGTTGTAACTGCTAATAAAGTGTTAGCTGCAATTTATTAGACTAGCAGATTTAGATCAACTTGACTAATACCACCCTCTCTTTACAGACTGACAATGCTGTTGTCCAAAAGGGTGTCTGCTTTACTACTTCATTCACTGTGCAGTACAGGCACCCAGAGACAGAAGTGTGTTACTAACTGGATCACCAGGTGAAGTAAAGGTATAAAAGCCTAAAAAAAAGAAAACTTCTGCGGCCACCGCATCCAAGAATTGGTAAACTGCAATATATAACATTTTTTGTTTTTCTGTTTAATACTGCTTTAACCACTTGCCCTCCAGAGGATTTACCCCCCCCCCCCCCCCCTCCTAACTAGGCCATTTTTTGCAATACGGCGCTGCGTTACTTTAAATGACAATTGAGCGGTCATGCGACAGTGTACCCAAATGAAATTGAAGTCCTTTTTTCCCTACAAATAGAGGTTTCTTTCAGTGGTATTTATCGCCTCTGTGTTTTTTATTTTAAGCACTATAAAACAAAAAGACTGCCAATTTTGAAGAAAAAAAAAAACAATATTTGACTTTTAAAAATCAAATTTCGTCATAAATTTAGGCCAAAATGTATTCGGCTACATGTCTTTGCTTAAAAAAATAAATAAATCCCAATATGTTAAACGAATTGGTTCATGTGAATGTTATAGCGTTTACAAATGGCAGTATATATACTGGAATCTTTTTTTTGTACTAGTACTGGCAGCGATCAGCGACTTGTAGCAGGCATGTTGACACTGTGGGAAACTGACTTGGTGTCACTGACAGCCTCAGTGACATCAATACAGCGATCAGTGCTAATAAAAAGCACTGACACTGTACTAATGGCACTGGGAAGGAAGGGGTTAACATGTGGGGCAATCAAAGGGTTAACTATGTGCTGTTTTACAATAGGCTGTATGTGTGCTTTACACTGTAAGCACACTGCTTTGTATGGCTCTGCAGGAGCTGACAGGGGAGAGATCTGTGTTGTTAATGCATAGGTCTCTCCCCCTTTTGGAGATACTCGATCACCGGGTGCTGGCAAGGAATCACCAGCAAGGACCGCGCGCGCCACCTACCCGGTACTGGCGCGTGTATATGCGTGATTTTTGGACACCCCTGCCGACCTGCAGCAGTATTTCTAGGTTTAATGTTTAAAATCTGACATTCAAAATATGAAACTCATTCACAAATACCCTAAAGAAAGCTTTAGAATAATTAAATTGTGTTTAAAAACCTAATATTTAGAGGATGAGTCAAAAAATGTAAGCGGTTCCCAAAGTGCATAAAATTAAAATACTAATATCTTAAGGAAAGTAATATCCACACAATATCCCTCAATTGGATGTCCCCTTAAAAGTTTATCATATACACATCCAGCACCTGTCAGCATCACCCTCCAGTCTTTATGATCTCAATGGTGGGGGACTGCCTTGGGAAATGGCATCTTGTGGAACAAGAGTGACACTCAAGAACTTTGAAGACCAGTAAATGTAATATTACTGTGTTATCTGCGTAATGTCATGATATGACAGTTTAGAAATGCTATAAATAAAAAGATTAAAATAGAAATTGAAAGACATGTGTCTACTCACCTTTACCAGTTGATCTTGCCTATACTCCAGCTCTCTAATTTCTTGATTAAGAATCACTGCTACATGTTGAGGTTGACTTCTGCATTTACTGCAGATTCCATGTTGTGTTAGCTCATCGCAGACAGGACAATGCAGAGTAGTGAAATACTGAGAGATTGTGCCTTTCCTTGCGTCCAGCTCATTCCGTGCTGTTGAACAAGCTTTCTGAATCTGCCAGTGCAGAAAAAAAAACAAAAACATCGTATATATGCATAACATGGGACTAGCAATTGCATTTTGGACAGACAATACACATCATAACGATTTTATCTTGTCAACCGTAATAATCTCAGTTGACCAGTCTATGAGATATGTAATACAGACTACACATACCTGTAAAAAGAAACAGCATATGTAGGATTTCCTTACAAGTCAATATCACATTTAAAATTCTCCTTCTCATCATCATCAGTTTAAACTCGCTATTATAATCAAACTCAACATGAATACATACATAACAACTAAATATACATTTCAATAAACCTGGTCATGACAGAAATATGTAGGCCGACCTCCCATAAAGGCTAGCGGATAGGCTCTCATGCTGATCTTCTGGGTATGATATTTTCTGAGTCATTGCCTTAGAAAAGATATGCAGCAAGAGAAGTCTGAACACCAGGTCTGCATATGTGTTTTCGGTTCAATGACAAATGTTACTGGAGTGGACCACTGATTCACAGAAATTGCTGGGTCAAAAGCTTTGCAGAAAGCATTGCAGAGTGACCCAGAACTAGAAGAGAGGGTAGCCTGTGTCCTGTAATCCAAGATATGGAATTTACAGGTAAGTCAAAATTCCTTTTTAATTGTACAGTACAGGACAAACAGCCTGGGAAGTCCCAAGCAATGGATGAGAAGGACTGGTAACAACTAGGCAAATTGTGCCAACAGACCCAACAGCAACAAGGGTCAACCCAGAATTAGAGTGCCACTGCAAGAACCTTGCGGGCAAAAGCTGCACCCACAGAAGACCACCGACCTGGTGGAGGGGGCACTAAAAATCTAAATACTTTTGCCCTTTACAGTGTAAGTTCTAGCAATGAGCTGTCTTATCCATTGACTGATGGTGGACTTTGAAGCAGGACATCCTTTGTGACCCTCCTTCCCCTAAGATGTGGGCTTCAACAGCCATGCCACTAAAGCTAGTGATTGAGAAGCAGGATGGAATATAGGGCCCTGAGACAGCAGGCCTGGTATTTCTGGAAAGAGACTATGCGTCATCTCCTTGTAAGCTGAATATGTCTGTGCACCTGGTTCCTCTATGCCAGTTTAGAACAATGAGAACCACCAGCTTCTTCTCTGGCTCTATTTTGTAAGCAGACAGGGTACAATTCTGACTGGAAAAAAAGATCTGATTAGCCTGAACTAAAATCAGGGGTTATCAAGACATCCAATGCCAGTGTTAGAAGATCCTTGGTCCTGCCCAAAAACAGGTAATTTGAAGCATCTGAATTGTCCTGTGGACATTTTCAGATAACTAGATTGAAGTGGACTCCTTTGGGAGGTGGTCGTCCAGATAACCTGTGACATGGATGTGCAGAGTTTGAAGGAGGACCAGAAGAGGTGCTTGGGCTTTTGTGAATACTCTGAGGACATAGTATAGGCCAAATAGCAGTGCAACAAACTGAAAGTGATGGTCTCCTACTGTGAAACTTAAAAAAAAGCACTGCTGAGGTGGATAAATGGGAATATGCAAAAAGGCATCTTGGATGTCTATGGATGCCAGGTATTCCCCTTGTCTCAGAGAGGCAATAACTGACATGGAAATTCCATGAAAAATTGTGGCGTTCATATGTATTTGATGAGGGATTTTTGGTCCATTTGAACTCTATTTTTTACCCTTTGAAACAGCCACTGGAACCCACAAGTTTGAGACTTCTGTGACCCAGAGAGGCAAACTGTAATGGACATTCCCTCATTCATGGGAGTGAGGGCATCCCTTCATTGGCAAGCAGGCTTTGGGGAAGACTTGGTGGGTCCAATCTTACACTGAAAAGGAAGGGCTGAACTTGGGTTTTGCAGCTGAAGCCTGGGTACAGTGATGCATTTTGAGGAGGTAGAGGCTCATGGGGAAGGGGGTTATGACCTTTCGCTACAGAAGAACAACCTTCCCTCCTATGACATGTTATGCATTTGTCAAGTACCCTCACAAAAAAGATGTCCTCCTGCAAAAGGCATGCATGTGAGCCATCTTTTAGGCTTTGAGCCATAAGACTCTGCATATGTGTATAGAGATTAGAGCCACCCTGGAAATTTGTGTCATTATATGTTCTAGGGCATTCACAGAAAAGAACAGAGCAGGATGTATTAGCTTTGATTGCTCAGTTGAGGCACAGCCCTAGAGTACAGGATCATGTTTGATCATTGCCCTATTCCAGTTGGCTGCAATTTGCCAAACAGAAATCACATCGATAGCTGGTTGCAGCTATGTGTAAAGACAGCCTTCAGGAGCATCTCATACTTCCTATCTGCAGAATCTTTGCATGAAGAACATCTTCAATTTGTACAGTGTTTAAGACTAGGATGGCAGATCAACTACTGGAGCAGACCACTTTTTAGTGAACTCTTTTTCCACTAGCTTGTGCTCAGAAATGATTTTCTGAACAGTGAAACTTTTATTCTGTATTGACCCATTTGTCATAAATTGCTCATTCTATTTGTACATGAACAGGGAATCCCCTTCTGGGGTACTGACAGAGTAGGAAGGTATGGAATATTGTGTAAGAATGTCTGAGAAGGAATACACAGCAACCCGTACCTTATTTTCTTAGTAAAGGCCCTATGTAGAGGTGACGGTAAAGTATAAATATAGTCATGTTTATTTCCAGTAACTGTAAAAAAAATACAGTCTGACCCTGTCCAAAACACTGGTTCCTATATTGGGTCCAGGCTTTGCCCATAATGGTGGGCATTCCCCCAAAGAGGTATTCTGAGTCTGGGTCCATAGGTATAGACGATGGCCCTGGACCTGTATAGCACTCTGCAGCTAAATACACGCATAGCACAGGGAGCCAAGGTGAATGCCCATGCAGGATCTAATGTCCAAAACAACATTACAGGCCGCCCCCAAAGGGGAAAAGGAAAGGTAATTTTTAATAAAAGTAAACTACAATATTGCTTGTGTAGCAATTGTATATGCTGTATTTGCTATTTCCCCCCCCCCCCCCATAAAAGTGGAGTTACCCTGTAAGCTAAGAGTTATTTCTTTCTAAGGGAGAAGTCGTCTATCATTTTAGTTTCCAAGCAAAATATTGAGTACTTACAGAGTGGTGTAGTGTTCTAAGGTAGAAACCCAGAAGCTGTGACTTTAAAGGCTTTCCCAGTGTCCAGTCACCTGAAGGAATGAGCCTATAACACAAGGTCTAAGAATACTCAGCCTGAGTCCCGTACTGTAGAATTAAGATGGTAGTCTGTGCTCCATTTATACAAATAAACGTTTCTATTTCAGTTTTGGCTGTGGTGTACATTTTAATAAAATGCCTATGGTCTGCAGATGCTTATTTTTTGTCATCATGTGCTAAAAAAATTCTCAGTATTTTGTAGTCAATATTGACTAGTTTTAGAATATTCAGTTGTCTCTACTTCCAGATACCATGAGATCTAATGCTAATAAACTATCCTCTTTTCTGCTCTCTCTAATGGTATAGGTTGCCTGGATTCCTGGTATACCGTATAGACCAGGGGTGGGCAAACTTTTTGACTTGAGGGCCGCAATGGGTTCATATATTGGACCCGGGGGCCGGACCAAGAGTAGATGAATGATGTGTATGTGTCATCCATAGTAAGTATAGTAATATTCCCCCATAGTAAGCATAGTAATTAATCCCGCATAGTAATTCATCCCCCATATAGTAATTCACCCCCCATAGTAATTCATCCCCCATATAGTAATTCATCCCCCATATAGTAATTCATCCCCCATAGTAATTCATCCCCCATATAGTAATTCATCCCCCATATAGTAATTCATCCCCCATATAGTAATTCATCCCCCATAGAGTAATTCATCCCCCATAGAGTAATTCATCCCCCATAGAGTAATTCATCCCCCATAGTAATTCATCCCCCATATAGTAATTCATCCCCCATATAGTAATTCATCCCGCATAGTAATTCATCCCCCATAGTAATTCATCCCCCATAGTAATTCATCCCCCATATAGTAATTCATCCCCCATATAGTAATTCATCCCCCATAGTAATTCATCCCCCATAGTAATTCATCCCCCCTATAGTAATTCATCCCCCCTATAGTAATTCATCCCCCCTATAGTAATTCATCCCCCCTATAGTAATTCATTCCCCATATTAATTCATCCCCCATATTAAGTCCCCAAGTCCCCCCTGTGTCAATTCACTTACCTTTGCTCCGCGCGTTCCTCTCGCCGTGTTCCCGCGCCGTTCCGGTGTAGCATGAAAATCTGTCTCCTATGAGGATCTGTCCCCCTCGACGTATCTGCGCATGTGCCAGTTTCAGGCATTAGCAGCCGATCGGCGATCTCCGGCACATGCGCAGATACGTCGAGGGGGACAGATCCTCATAGGAGACAGATTTTCATGCTACACCGGTCTTCAGGGCGGACTGTGAGAGGAGCCTAGCTCCGCGGGCCGGATTAAAAGGTCCGCCGGGCCGTATACGGCCCGCGGGCTGTAGTTTGCCCATTGCTGGTATAGACACATTCATTTTGAGCTAGCAATTGGAAATATGCAGGCAATAAGAAATATGTATTACAGCACCTAGATTGGGTCAGTGCAAAGTCTATGAGATGAACCAAGTGTCATGCAATGTTTAACACATGTCTAAGGAAACCCACAAGTACAACTTTGGGGAGCAGTATACTTTTCCAGCTGGTCGTCGTCCTGCGCTTTTACCATTGCTAAAACTCCATGTTCCTTGCATACTGAAATCTCTGATTACATAAATCTTACTATCCATGGCACCATTATGATGATTCCATTAATGCATGCATGCTTACCCTTGGTAATTCATCATACCAACTGAAGACATCCACTCCAATGAGTGAAAAGATTCTGTTTAGTGGTGGCATTATCTGTTTGGTGATGTAGTAGGTTGCATTTAATCTCAAATTGTGATCTTGCAGGACATCAATGGGTCGTCGTACAAGCTGGATAAGGGGTACTCCAGGCGTCCCATACACTATCACATATGGCACCCTCTCTCCAACACGGGGCTCAGAACGACGATCATATGCTACCATTTTTCTTTTAAAAAAGGAGAAGAAAGTTATAAAAATTAAGTAAGATAGACCAATACAGTGGCACTGCAATATGTGATTATGAGGTACACTATATTTATATATACAGAAGAAAAAAAAATAAATAAAAACTCCATGCAAGGTCATTAGGGGTTTCAGGTGTTTTAATAGGATTGTATACTCCTAATAAATTACATTTGTATACTCTAAGATTATAATAGGTTTGTTGGTACTGGAATCGGGACTGGGTATCTTTTTTTTTCCAGGTGTATTGATGACAGGAGTTTTTAGAAATGTGGATGATTATTGTATGCGGACACAATAACTAGCAGACCAGACCCTAAATTCCTTTTTTCCAATATGTTGTAATTTATTTTTTTAGATCAACCTAATTTGGAGGAAACAGCTGGAGGAAAGAAAAAAAAAAAAACTACGCACATAGCCAGCTAAAGGCTACACAAACCATTTGGCAAAAAACAATGTGCAGGTGGCAGTTGGTGAGCTTGGCATTATCTGACGGACACTGGAGAAAGCATCCAGAGATACAGTATAGGTAGAGGTACCAGGTGTCACATTGTAGTGCAATAACCTGTTCAGTATCAATCAAAAAATGTTGCTAAATTCAAGAGCAAAACTTAAATATATAGTAGCTTGCCAATCCTTAGATGTGAAGGTTGAAATTTTTTTTTTCCATCCTATTTTCCCCCTTTATTTTTATAGGTGATCCTGCCAGTAACACACTTTCTATCACAACACTAACCATATATGTATCTATGGAGGAGAAGCACTATCACCCTAGGACAGGAAGTGTGCTAAGACTATAGAACACCTCCCACTGGACAGAGGTATTCTGTAATCCACAGAGAGATGGAAACGATGCAAAGGATCACAGTCAGCAGATGCAGAAAGCACAGGGGGTTATTGGTTCACAAGATTTCTGGCAGGATCAATTAGGTATTTGCACACATCAAAAAAGATATAACAAAGCACTTTGTATATGCTTTAACAGACCAAAAACAAAGAATAAATATGTAGATTTTACTAGAAGACATTGGCCTGAAGTGTTCCAACACGGTCAATTAATATAGATAAGTGGCCCAAAAATATTTAAGAGAATCATCACTTTGTCTGGAAAGTGACCTGTGAAATCAACTTGCTCATCTCTGTAAATTGCAAGCTCTCAGGATGACAGTATCTCTATTCTGAGCTGCCCTTGGTTTCATTGAATATGTAACAACATTATAGACTATAAAACCTAAAACACACTGGTATGAAATCCTATTTCTTTGTTTAGATTATCAAACGTCTTGTAGCTTGGCATCAAAGATAGGATAGAGTCTTCTTTGCTACAACCAAATATTTTTCTGATACTTGTATACAATGTGTATTATAGTACATTCACTGGCTGCTGACATGGAAAACAAAAACAGACAGTGCTGTGTATGATTATAATAAATACCTTGTACTGTAATATACGAGGATAGCAGAATGCCTGCCGCATGTACTGCATATAAACTGATCAGCAATAACATTATGATCTCCCACCTAATATTTATTAGGCCCCCCTTTTTTTTGTTTTTACGAAAACAACCCTGACCTGTGGAGACATGGACTGCACTAGACATCTGAAGGTATGCTGTGGAATCTGACGCCAAGCTGTCAGTAGCAGGTCCTACGTATTGTAAGATGTGAGGTAAGACCTCCATGGATTTGACTTGTTTTTACAGCACATCTCAAAGATGATCAATCAAACTGAGATCTGGAAAATTTGGAGGCCATGTCAACACCTTGAACTCGTTCTCTAGAACTCGGTCACTGCCATCAGGGAATACTGATTCCATAAAGAGGTGTACTTTTGTCAGCAACAATGTTAAGGTGGCTGGTATGTGTCAAAGTAACATCCACATGAATGGCAGAACCAAAGGTTTCCCAGCAGAACACTGGTCAAAGCATCACACTGCCTCTGCTAGCTTGCCCTCTTTCCATAGTGCATCCTGCTGCTCTCTCTTCCCTTGGTAAATGATGCACAAGCACCCAGCCATCTACATGATACGAAAGAATATCTGACTGATCAGAGCGAGCCAGTTTCTTCCATTGCTGTGTGGTCCAGTTCTGATGTTGTCCATTTCTTCAGGGACATGTTCAATGTTCTGCCTAATATATCCCACCAACTTTCAGATGCTATTGTAACAAGGACATCGGTGTCATTCACTTTACCCATAAATAGTCTTAATGTTATGGGTGATCTGTGTACATACCTTGTTTTATTTGTTAGCATGTTATTTGACATGCCAAGATCAATTCTCTGTATGTGTGCACTTATAGACAATGAATGAGCAGACCTACGTCTGTAGATATATTTTGAAGGTTAGTTCAAAACATTGCTCTAAATTTAGTCCCTTAACAATGACTATAAGTGCATGTTGCTTCACTAAGATGCACATTCAAGAAATTGGCTACTATTAGATACATTGGAGACTGTTTGACCGACACTGAACATCTAATAACAGAGAATCAGGTTTTCAATAGGTTTCCTTTATGAGCAGTGAAAAATGAAAGACTGTGCAAAGTGAAATTGCTGCAGCAGTGCCAGCAAGAAGCTGTACAATATTACAAAACTAGAAAAGCTACAATTTCTGGGGAAATTGTGTGAAGTGTTCTTGCCTCCACCAGTAGTCTACAACTCACACTCTAGCTTTTGTCACTCTGCTGCCTGCTCACACACCTGGGTTCCTATGGCAACTCACTCTACAGCAAGGGCAGAGAAGAGCAGTTAAAAACAAACTGCTCCAACTTGCTCACTTCACTAGCGGTTGCCATCTTCAAACGGTTGTAGTTTAAAAATTTTAAATCCTACACCGAAGAGCTTTATATTGTGAGAATCACAAGACCTAGACCTACATTTTGATGTATAGCATGTCTCTGAAATATTAAAAATGAAGGCACAGTTGCAGTTTAGAAATTGCCCTTCAAATTTGAGGTGGCTAGAGTGGAGTTTCAATGAATGTCAATGGGCGGCGTGAGTTGCAAACAAATGGTCATATTGTGAAAACTATCAGGACTATGGCTCAGCCGTGGACATTTGTAGTGGCAGCAGGGATAGCTGAACGTTTTGATATAAGATTTGTGTAGGTGGGCTTGAAAATGAGGGAGTGATGGCAGTTTAGAAATCATGTCCTGATTTTTCATCTCACACTCTAGCTTTTGTCAGCTCCCACTCTAGTTTTGAACATTCCGCCATTCATTCCTATGGGACCAATTTCACCACAAAAACGCCGATATTTCGTGAACCATTCAGCGAAACGTTCCACAAAGTAATAGCACACCAATCGGGAACAATCCGCACGTTTCGGTATATTACTGTCTATGTAGTGTAAAAACTGTGGGAGGAGTTAGGGTGGTAAATTTGGCTATAATAAGAATATATATGTGAGATAACAGTAAGTGGTCTTGCCATGCATGAACACTTAATATGAATGAGCAATAAATGCAGCTTGTATTTGAGTGAACTGCAGGAGTAGACTACAACGGCTCACTCGTATATTTAATATTAAAGTAAAAGCAAGCTCATGATGGTTTAATACACCCTGTAACATAGTAGACTATGATGGCTGGAATGGAGTACACAATATGTTGTACCCGATACAGATGGGTTTGAGTCTTTCTGGCTACTCCTGTTAACCAACTGATGACCTTGGGAGTGCAAGTTATGCTCTTAAAAACTAGATAGTAGTTATAAAAACTTAATCCTTGGTGTGTACCTTGTACACCCCCTTCTATTTCCTGCCACAATTGTTCTGTTTCATGAGAGCTACTGCAGTGGCTACTGTGAATATGATGACTTAGCCACACTATTTGTGAGCATAGCTAATACACTGTAACCTTATTATAGTTGTGATGTATTTAAAGAAGTTATCTCATGTGCAGGTCAGAGAAGTGTTCTTTCATCTGCAGGGAATGTTAAAGAATTTGCAACTACAAACCCACCCCTCTCGCCCAAATGTTGAAGACAATGGGTCTCTACACCATATTTGGTGGGAGTTCCCCAAACTTGCTGAGTTTGTCTGATATCAAGTTCATCCTGTTACATGTGCCTGTTTTACCCTAAAGCAGCCCATAGATAGGAAGGAAAGAAAATAGCTAGATTCCCCCAGCAATATTATGTTCTGCTGGTGACAATAAGCACGGCAGTGATCGCATGAAAAAAAATACATCAGCGGATCGATCGACTTCAGTACAACCAATCTGCCCATAGAAAGATCAAATCTCAACCAGTCCCTGCTAAACTGGCTGAGATTCAATCCATCTATGGCCAGCTTTACTCCACAACTGGCTCTGCTGGGTATAGGGATTGATACTTGGCCTACATCCTTGCAAATATCTGTAGCATGCCCACACAGAAGCTGGACTCTCCTTTGTTAGGAATTGGAAGAACACTATATTCCCAAACCGGTCACAAATTATCAATATTCTCAACGACCATCTACTATTTAAATACATGTTCACCAAGGCTCGCTTATCAATCAATAAATTTCAAACTTGTTAGGAGCTGTGGCTTAAAGAATACAGATGCATCCACTTAACATAAATAGATCTTTATTTCTGGTTATTTGGAATCTCTTCATCTGCACCATTAAACGTGACCTAAATGAGATTCCAACATACCCAGTAGGAAAAGCTTTATGACAATTTCTGCTTCTGTATTCGGCTTCTTATCTCCGGTGCCCCCTTTCTTCTTGCTAAGGCAATAAATGTGTAATCTATATCGCATCATTGTAACCTTTACATTTAGCATTTATGCTTCTACCTTCCTTCTACCTCTAGACACCATAGGTAATTTCAAAAATGTACTGGCTTACTTCCCGGGCATTAATACCTGCAATTATTAAAACTCTAGTTAATTCTATCTTACTCAGGTAGCAAACTTTTGAATACCATGTTATACCTTAGAATCACACACACAGCAACACATACAATATACTAACTTTGTACTTATGTCTAACATGCTGTATGAATTCTGTTTTCAGTTCTCTGATTTTTACTTAAAGACTCATGGATTAAAAAGAAAAAAAAAAACAAAAAAAACGCAGAATTACATTTGTGTTATAAACAGGACATACAGTATTATATAAAGTTTGCACTTTTTATCTACAATAAACTCTAATTGTTTTAAAGCTATCAATGGTCACTTTTTTGTTACAGTAATCACCTAAAGAAAGCCTTGCTTGTCCATATTTGACAACATTAATATATATTTTAATATAAAGATTGCTCTGGTCTTTAACATCTCACTAAATGATTCCTTTAAAACAGACATCCTAGTTAGAGCTAAAGATTTATCTCAAATTTGCCAATTAATTTTACATAGCATTTTTTTTCCCCACTCTTTTTCTCCTTTGTATGCTCCCCACAGCACTTGTAACACATCCATTTCTGGCTATGAAGTACAGCACTGCATGTCTGTTAAGGCCACATACACCACTTTGCTCCAACTTCAAATCCCATAACACATTTTGCCGCCAGTCCTTATATACATGCTGCAGAATGCCATGGGACGTGCTTTCAGGCGCTGTGATGTGGGCGGTGCGGTGTTATTAATGGGATCCATGATCACTCTCAGTTTCCACACAATGGGCGTTTTGCTTTTGTGCCGACATGTGTAATTGTAGACAATTATGTGTGCGAGCAGAAGACAAAGCTCACGGCGATCAGCCATATCATTATGATCACTGACAGGTAAAGTGAATAACATGGATTATCTTTACAATAGCATCTGAAAGTGGGTGGGATATATTAGGCAGCAAGTGAACATGTTGTCCCTGAAACGGATGTGTTGAAAGCAGCAAAAACAGGGCAAGCGTAAGGATTTAGGAGACTTTGACATAGGGCCAAATTGTAATGACTAGACGACCAGGTAAGAGCAACTTCAAAACTGCAGCTCTTGTATGTTCCTGGTCTGCAGTGATCAAATCCTAACAAAAGGGATCCAAGGAAAAAAAAACAAAACAAAAAACAGAAATAAAACAGAAAACTGGGGATAGGGTCGTGGGCAGCCAAGACTCACTGATGCATGTGGGGAGCGAAGGCTGGCCCATGTATTCTGATCCAATAAAAGAGCTATTGTAGATCAAATTGCTGAGTGTCAGAACACATAGTGCATCAGAGCTTGTTGCGTATGGGGCAGTGCAACTGCAGACCTGTTAAGCCTCCCATGCTGACCCTGTCCACAGCCAAAAGCGCCTACAGTTGGCACATGAGCATCAGAACTGAACCACAGAGCAATGGAAGGCAGCAGCCTTGTCTGATAAATTCGAGAATGGTTTGACAACACAGGTTCAAAATGTTGACTTAGCCACCGGATGCTCCAGATCTCAATCCAATCAAGCATATTTGGCATTTGCTGCAAAAACAAGTCCACTCACAGGTGAGGGCATTGCTTGCATATTAATGGTGGCCTTAAAGTGTTACTAAACACACAACAGTAAAAATCAGTCAGTATATGCAGTAAAGCATGCTTGTTATACTCACTGTAGAACCTACGGGGTTAATCCCCTGCATTGTGTAAAAAGGCTGTTTCAGCTGGTCTTCTCTGATCCTCCCCTTATTTACTTCCCCAATCCATCTGCTGACAGTACAGAGCTCTAGGAGACACTGCACATGCTCAGTTTGGTGTGTATGACTAGAGAGTTTTTTTGGGGGGAGGGTGCATGTGATCGGCACAGTGCCAATCAGCTGTCCAGACAGAGGATCAGGGGTCATGCAGCCTCATAGGAAAGTCAGAAGAGAATAAAAACTCCTACAAGATTAACCAGTGCTCTGCCGGACACTAATAGAAGTTACAAGACTGCTATATACTGCTGATGAGAAAAGGTATTTAGCAGTTTTTTTATTTACTAAAAGAATTGGATTTCCATATTCTGTGTGAGACTAGATAAAGTGAATGCAGGGTCCTGGGTTTATTAACACCAGGTGGAACACGTGTGGAAAGCAAAACCTAAAGTGGTCAAATATACATTATATTCTTATCGAATTGGATTGTTTCTGGAGGTACTTCCCACCCTAGCAAGTTTTCAAATCCATGCAAAATGGTAAAGTCCTGGCTTTAAAAACAGACACCATAAAAACAGCTTTTCACGCTGGAACCTTTCGATTATGGTCTCTGACCACCTCCTACCTCGTTAGTTCCAGTGCTGGCACACAGGCTCCAGGTCTGTAAGCAAAACTTCCTCTGTACTCCTTGGCAAAGATAAGGTCCTGCATGCTGGCTTTCCCTTCCAGAAGCTTTATGCACTGCCTCTGCACATACTGTTTGATCTGGCTTATATCTCTTGTTTCAAATAGTAGCTTAATTGAACGTTCAAGTATCTGGAAAAAAGAAAAAAAAAACATTCTTAAGCTAGCCAAAGACAAAGTGGTGTTTTAATGCACTATTCAGGCTATCCACAGACATAAAACTAGCCAGGAATCAATAGATTTCTTCATTGACACTGGACAGAGGAATATGCACTGCCAGTTATTGTATTCAAGATGCCACAGAGTCCACCTGCATTCTTTGACATTTGAGCTGTAGGTGGCCCTTTTGGTGCCAAACCTCAAAAAATTTAATACTTTAGCATCAATTGGCCAAAATTCAAGCTGTATAGGGCAATTTTGAAAACAGAGCTTAGCAGACATACTTTCTTTGTTTCTGATCAAAAGTTACATATTTACAACAGCTGTTCAGAATACACCTTGTCCAATGTCTACTGGCCCATTTTTCTGTAATATATTCGTCTATATAAAGAGACAGTTGGAGGAAAAGAAACGGCAGGTACAAAGTGCAGTCTTCTAGGAAGCCTTCTTTCACAGCCACTTCTGAGTCGGTTAAATTTAGTTCAGCACATGACAGCATGCTTGCCTGCCCCTATCACACCTCATGCATGCAGTCTCCTACTTTCCTACACAGAATTATTATGGCTTATTGAGCAAGTCATAAGAAAGCAAGTCCATCTAACATATATATGTACAGTATATGAAAATGGAAGAATAAGGTTACTGTCAGATCCTGATAAACTGAATTACAATCTGCATAGTATAGATATGCAGAATAGCATTCACTCTTTTGCTTACCTTACCAACAGCAGGACAAGCATCTCTTCGTACAGTCTCTATGCCTTTTGCATCAAAGACAGGATCCTTCTGATCAAGAGTTTCATACATATAACCCACATACCTTTTCTTGGTTTGTAAAACACAGGGGAGATAAACCTGCAAAACACAATTACTTCAATCAAACAACTTTTTTCTTTCAGTCACTAAACACATGTATATTGCAGGGTCCCTCACTGACCCGGCTCTCTTGTTGGTAGTAACAGAGAGGAGCATAGGACCTTGCAGAAAACCCCTTTCATCCAGCTGGAAGGAGTGGACTGTATCCTGATAGGTTTGCATAACGTCTTCATTTCACAACCTTGGCTAATACCAGAGAGAAAGGCTCTACTAGGCTGCCTGAAGTTATAGCATGCCAATATTGCCACTTTCTACTTTTGCAGTCAAACTGGAGAAAACCCCACTATATGTTTCTTGTATGTTCCCATTCACACAACATACTGAAAAAAAGTTTGGCAAAATAATTCTTATCTTTTAGATTTTTTTTTTTTGGAGAAGGTATCAAGGCTGACTGCAAACAATTCTGAACAAGTTCAATATGAGTCTGTCCTAACAAAGTATTTGGACTTTCTATAGGAACGCCTTCTCATTAATATACAATGAAGAAGCCTAGCTACAAAATCTAACGCTTTTTTTGAACAAAAATTGTTCAAATCTTGTTTACAATTGATAATGAGCTCAATTATCTCAGTACATTCAGGGAAAATTATGGCAAACACAGCTCCCTAAATAGTCAAACAATAATTCTTCAAAGTTGATGATACCAGAAAAGAGCATCTAAAAAGTTAAGCTCCAATTTTTTTTTACTAAATATACTAAATATTTGTAAAATTATTCTTGTGAATGTGCACATGTAACAATAAAGCGATATTAGGCAATAAAGTGTTCACACTAGCGTTGAGTGCAGGAGGCAGAGTGGCGTTTGGGAAGCATTTTTACCGCTTCCCAAACGCCTCGGACAATTCTCCACATTGCAGCACATGGTGCTGTTCTAATGGGAGCGTTAGCGTTGCGTCGCGGCAAAACGGATGCGTCTGGTCGAGTCAGGTTTTGACGCCTCCTATTCTAGTCTATGGTGCCACTCCGTAAACGCCGGCCGGTTGTGACGCGGTTGCAGGGCGCTTGCGGAGCGGTAACACCATTTAAACTTCATTCTAGGCGTTTATGGGGCGTTTTTAATGCTCGGCAAACGCCTAGCAACCGCTGCTAAACCGCGCATGCGGCGTTTGCTGAGCGTGAAAAAAACGCTCCGCAAACGCCGGACCAACGCTTGCCAAACGCTATAGGGGCGTTTGGCAAGCGTTGGTAAAACAGTCAAGTGTGAACGAGCCCTAAAACCCAAAACCAAATATGTAATATATTGTAGCTTACCAATCATTAGACATATCAGTTTTATGTTTTAGGCTTTTTCCCCTCTGTTTTCACCTAGTGATCTAGCCGATAACACACCATTTGTTTTAGAGTGTCTCCACTCCAGCTAATACTTAATAAGCAGTTACAGAAAACAATTTATACCTTTTGGGGTAAAGGTCTAACAAAAATGTGATCTGACCATTATAAGCACCCCTGCATGTGGTATATGTGGTTTATATCATCCTTGTAAACCGATACATTTGCACAAGAGCTTGTTCTTTTGAAAAACAACATACTTACTGGCTGGATTACAAGATTAAAAAAGAAGAAAACCCAAAAAACAAAATTAATACAGCCATCACATCTGAATTTAATACTGCAATATAATAAATGTTTGCTTTTGGGTATAATACCGCTTTAACTCAGTACTATCCCAATTTAGCACTTTCGGGAATTTATCAGAGGTGTTACATCCTCCAAAACAAGCCAATTGCTCCATGTGTTAATGCTTTAAAAATGCTGCAGATACAAAAAACATAGGATTATTGCACTCACCATAAAATCCTTTTTTTTTTTTTTTGGCGTCCATGTAGGGACACACATTCAGACAACTGTCAGATTATACTGCTGTGTACAGGAGGATTGGACACTGGCAACAGAAAAATTGTAGGACAACTCAGGATAACCTCTCCTCTACCCAACAAGCCTCAGTTTTTAGCAAGCAAGACCAAAAACATGAACTAAAAAAAACATGAGGTATGACCTATGTCTCTCAATGGACATACAAGAAAAGGATTGTAAGGACAGTGTACAAAAATCTTGTACTTGAGTGACACAGGAATTCAGATACTGCTGGGACTTCCAAAATCAGTCCAGCTGAGGGGTGGGCAACTCAACAACCTAAAAGCCACCTTAAGGACCAATGCATGTTGCTGAAAATGGAGGAGACAGAATCCCCTATTAGATTTGGGAACCTGGCAATACGACCAAAGGGAGGGTATGAATAATCAACCTAATACTCAAGGCTAAAGATAGAAGTCACCACCATGGGGGAATTACTCCACACAGAAGGAAACACAAACCTGAACCAGTGAAAAGCTGATCAAGCAGAACCTGCTCAGGTGGAAAAAACATTTCCTATGTAAGGAAGAAAAGATAGCCTGATGTGATCCCCTAGAAGGAACAGATCTCTTAAGGGTCTAACACAGAAGGCAGTGTACATATGTAGAGCTCTCTAAAAAGAAATTAGGCCAGGGAAGCCCCTGCATTTACTACACTGGTGGTATTTAAGACATCCTGTGTCTACAGTGAGAAAGCGTCAGTGCACAACTTGCTGCGGCATTTACAGTCCAGCAAGTTTTTACCTCTCCAGTGGGCATACTCCAAAAGGAGGAATAGGCTTACAATGATGGATGAATCATAGCCTGGACCTGTAAAGCAGTATGTGACTATCACAAGTTACAAATGGCCTTGACATCACCACCACCAGAGCTCAGTGCCTGCCAGGCCTGCATCTTCCTTATGGCACGTCTCTTCAGTGAACAAAACAGCTTGATTTAAGAAATAATTTATTGATAAGAGGAAAAATTGGTTGCAGGTTATCTCATAGCAGAATAAAAAATATCACTTCTAGAATACTAGCAAGAAACTGAATAATGGGAGTGTGATGGGTTACAGGGGCCTCTGATGTATAGAGGCAACTCTGCCATGAAGGCGACAGCCTTTCATGTGAAGTTATTTCATCAAGACATTTTAGACTGGGGTCCTGTGACCGAAAAAAGGTTGAGAAATGCTGTCCTAGCAAAACTATTAAGAAAAAGGATTTTAGAATTGCCGGTAAAATCCATGTCTTGGGGAACAGCATAGGACTTTCAACTTTTAACCATGGGTTATACGCAGTTACCTTTGCGTGATCAGATGCTGGTAAGAAAGAAAGCTGCATGGACATACCCTATATAACTCCTCCCACTTACAGCGAGCTTTAGAGAAGCAAGACGTCAACAAGTTCACACAACAAACCAGTCCAAAAGGACTTGACAGTACACAGAGCAGCTTGTAGCATCTTACGCCCAAAAATGGCACCAGAGGAAGGCCGAACATCATGCTAAAACCTAAACATTTAAACAAAAGACAAGATGAAAGCCTTGCAAATCGTGGAAATGGATGTCTGATGTTGAAAAGCCCAGGATCCATTAACAGATCTGGTAGAGTGCATCTTACCAAGAAGGGGCAGAACCCTATCTTTTGGGCTCTAACGATGCCATGTCTAATCCTCCTAGCAATGTGAAACAAGAAGCAGAGAGCCCTTGGGAAGTACAAAGAGGGGATCTAATTGCCCAAAAGAGGTTGTAGCTGAGAGGTAGACTTTCACAGAATGTATCATATGAAGATAGTAAAGTGAAGAATATTTCAGAGCAGGACATAAGGACGGGAGGTCAATGTTCTGGTTGAGGTGGAAGGAGGAAATCACCCTATGGAGAAAAGAGGTTTAAGGTCTCAGGACAACTTTTTCTTTATAAACAAAGAAAAACAGGGGGCACACCAGCCTTGTGCATTATCTAGGGTGATAACTTTAATGATTCAAAATAAACTATACTCACAAATGTTGTAAAAACAAAAGCGTGTCAGATACAAAGCAGCCAGTACACAGGATCAGCTCCCAGAATCATGAGGACCCTCTTAAGGCTGACACGTTTCAAGGAGTGATCTCCTCTTCCTCAGAGCCACTGCCTCAAAGTAGGCTACCATCAGATCCAAAACTTCCTGCAGGCACAAACTGAGGGTCAAATGTGGAACTGATGGGACCAAGCACAAGACTGGGTGGATAGAAGTTGTCCTTGGGCTGGAATATCCTGGACAGGGCTGTATCCAATGTCAGGCCTAGGTATTCTAATCAGGGAGTCGGTTTCGGTGACGACTTTCAAAGTTTGAGGATCCAACTGAACTCTGCAGAGTGTGCACTGTTCACTGGACAATGGCTGAAAGAGATAGGGAGGACTAATCTTTTAGCAGAATATCACCAATGTAATTCACATGTATTGCCTAGGAGTAAAATGAAGACTGGGATGAGCACCTTGATGAAAATGTAGGGATCCGTGGATAGGCCAAAGGGAAGAGTAACAAGGTAATGTTGATTGGCCACTGCAAAATGCAGACAGCATTGATGGATGTTTACTGAAGACAGAAAGCCTTTGGAAAGAGGAGGGAATTACAGACCTGGCCAATTCAATTCAATTCACCTTCTGAACCCACAGGAATGAGTTTTTAGATCCAGAATGGCCAAACTCCTCCATATGGCTTTGGATCTGTGAACATGTTTAAAGTAGAGCTCCACCCAACAGGGGAAGTTCAGCTTTACGGTTTCATCCTCCACTCCATAGCAGATCCCAGAAGACTATAGGACCATTCACAAAGTGCAGAGCTAGTCGCACATAGGCAGTGGGCACCTGGCTGTGAAGCCACAAGCTGTCACAGCCGGGTGCCCACACTGAAGATGCTGGCCTCGGGGAGCAAGCAAGGCTGGTGGACCAAGCTGCGGTGAGGACAGGGCTGGATCGAAGGACAGGAGTGTGTGTTTTTTTAACAGTCAGCAGCTACAGCTTTTGTAGCGGCTGACTTTTATTTTTTTTTTAATTTGACTGAAGCTCTGCTTGGGAGGGTGTCTAACCATATTCCATTGGATCCTTGAACATAGGATTACTGCCCACATGGACTGCAAGACTATTAAAACAAAAGATGGCAGGGTCAACTACAGAGACCATCCATTTTTGTGTGTAGTTACCCCCAATAGAATATTAAATACCTGCATCAGTGAACAGTGATAAATATACAATACCCCAGTGCTGAAAACTTCACCATACACAAAATATAAATATTCAAACAACCAATCATAAATATATGCCCACAATAAATAAAAAATGTTGGAATTTCAATACCACTTCCCCAATACTCTGTCCAAATGTTAGGGCACAAGTCCCATCAAGTGCTCATATGTGTAGCTGTGCTCTTTTCTCCAAAACGGTGTCCATGCCTCTACTCCCTTGTGTTCACTCTTCCTTCATCTTTACACATGCACTTACCAGAGAACAATGATCCCTTAAGTTAATAAGGTCTATAATCGCCTGTGGTGTGGTACCCCTTTAATTAGTAGCCACATGCGCCATTTTCATTTCCCCCCAACATTATCTGGAATAGCGTTAGCCCAGTAAAGACCAAGAAAAGACCTTATAGCGCAATCCTGTTTATTAAAGTGTTACTAAACCCATGACCCTGCATTCACTATATCTAGTCTCCCACACTACACAGAACATGGAAATGCAATTATTTTCGTAAATATAAACTGCTAAATACCTTTTCAGCAGTTAGAGCAGTCTTGTGACTATCAGTATTCAGCAGAGCACTGGTTAAAGGAGTTTTCTCTAGGAGGATGCAGAACTTCTGACCTCTGCTGGGCAGTGCTGATTGTCCCTGTGCTGATCACATGCATTCTCCGAAGAAAAAAAAAAAAAACCTCTCTAGCTATACACACCAAATTGAGCATGTGCAGTGTCTCCACACGATATGTCTTATCAGGAGATAAGAGGGAGACACTGGAAGAATGGGAGGATCAGAGAAGACAAGATCAAACATCCTTTTTACACAATGCAGAGGATTAACCCCTTAGGTTCCACAGGGAGTACGATTTTACTGTTGTGGGTTTAGTAACACTTTAAAATAAAATATTAAAAAATATTCCAGGCACTTACATGTTCACCTTCACATCCATGCTTAATCATATACAGGACAGTATCCCATCCACTTCCTGGTCCGGGATGCTGAGTTGTGTCCCGATTGCAGGAAATAACGTGGCGGAAGTTATTTTGCTTTTATGTCTGGTTGTATGAATATATATTTAATGATTTGTGCATGGTGGAGTTTTCAGCACTGGGTTATTGTATATTTATTACTGATCACCAATTCAGGTCATTGGTTAAAGAGCTGCACAGTTTTCATATGATTTAAGTATCCAGGGATATCATGTTCCGTTGCTAGTGAAGGGCACTAGCATCATATCATGGTTGATTTTTGTTTACTCAATTGAATGTTGCTGAGCAAAATGCTTAGGGAAAGTAAATAGCTTTTCAGGATGAGTCCAGTCACCATACAGGACAGGCTCCAAGTGCAAGTGGACTGGAAAAGTCTTGGCAGGCTTGGGTACTTGTAGCAACCTCAAACGCGGCTGCTATAATGCCAAACAAGAGCATACAGCATCAGTGAGAGTCGCAATGTCATCCTTTAAGCTTGGGTGAAATTTCAGCTGAAAGCAACTCATACTGATCTAATTTTTCAGAAGCAGAGTGGGGATCCTCCATCTCCCTCCAGCACAAGCAGTATGGCTGAAGCAAAGGCAAAGTCAACAACCAACCTAAAATGGAAGACTGAATGGGCTCACTTGTGACCCCTGTTATCTACAGTCTCTAAAGGGCTGCAGTAGTATTAAATGCACCAGACTGCTGGCACAAAATTTAAACATCTGGTGACTCCCATCCATTGCTCCTCAGTGACCAAAGCATATGAATGCCAGCACCCCAGGGCAGATTTAACGGGTGCAAGTTCTGCACGCAGTGTAGCCCTGGATCTGTATAGAACCCACACCCATAAAGGATCCAGTGCTGGAACCAACATTACAGACAGGTTCCACCTTTTCATGCAAGCGGGGTCTAGGTTTGGTCCCCTCAAAGCTCAGTCGGAGTCAATTGATCTGGAACTTACAGAAGCACCTGAAGTTGTCATGGTGCAGTAAGGAAAGTTAGTCATCTAAAAAGAGCTGGGAGCTGAATGGGTTTTATATGGGATGTCCTTGCAATTTTTTTTTTTTTTTTTTTGTGCTAGTGTCCAGTCACTTGCATATAGCATATTGTTAAAGACGATACTGCATGACTAAGAAATAGAATTTTTGCACTCACTGCAAAAATCCTTTTCTTGAGGGACATGCCTGTGTGTTTATGATGATGCTCTCGGTACTGCTTGCTAAAAAAAATGATGTATGCTGGCAGTGGGAGGAGTTATCCTTTTTGTTTGCCAGTGTCCAATCCTCCTGAAGGTGACAAATAAAAAACAAAAACAGGAGGTTAAGGACTTCTGGTTTCCCTCAATGGACTCCAAGAAAAGGATTTTACGGCAAGTACAAAATAAAAGGAATTTTGTTCTACCTGTAAATGCAGTATCTTGGATTACAGTGCAGGACACAGGATGAGTATTCATAGACCCTGGGTTATAGGCTCATAACTTAAGATGATAGGACACTGGCAATTATTTTGATTTCATTCTCCCTTAGCAACTCCCCCATAACCCTAGTCCTCAGCAAGCAATACAGAATAACCAAGGAATGGAAGGGTGATGGGAATGGCCTGTTTCCTGTGCTATGCCAAGATACTGAATTCACAGGAAAGTTAAAATTCCTGTTATCTTGTTCAAACTGTACAAGATGCAGACTGAGTATTCAACAACCCTGGGATGTCCCATAGCAATGATTGAGAATTGTGGACAACAACACGGCAAGAGAACTGTGCTAACATCCCCAACAAGGGTCAACAAAACCAACATCAAAGGGCTACTGCAACAACCCTACAGCTACAGAAGATTGGATGTCCAACTAGCAAAACCGTGAAAAGGTATGAACAGAGGACCAGGTGTTGGCCTTACAAAGCAGGGCCACTGAAGTTTGGACCAGAATGCCCAGGAAACACCCACCAACCAGGTGGAGTGGGTGTGTAAAACAGTATAAGCGCTAATGACGACTTGTCTAATCCATCAGGTGATGGTGGACTTGAAAGCAGGATGTCCCTTGCGAGGTTCTGATGACAGGACAAACAGGAAGTCCATCTTCCTGATAGAAGCTATTGCTTTGAGGTACGTTCCGATGGCTCTGACTACACCCAGGCAACAAAGAGCAATATCATTTTGGTGCTTTGGAGTGGATCACACGGATGGAAAGACTGTCTTCAGTGAGGTGGCTGATGCCACAAGATTCTGTGCACGTGAATGGAAATTAGTGCCATTTTGGAATTTTGTTTTTTTATTGTTCTAGGGCAGTGATGGCGAACCCGTGGCACGCGTGCCACAGCCGGCACGCCGAGCCTTATCTGTGGGCACGCCAGGAGAATACCGTATTTTTCGCTCCATAAGACGCACTTTTTTTCCCCCAAAAAAGGGGGGAAAATGTCAGTGCGTCTTATGGAGCGAATATAGAGCGGCCGGTCCGGTATTTCCACCGCCGCCGTGTCAGAATACCGGGCCGGCCGCTCAGCTCTGCAGTGGGACCTTACCTGTCCCTCTATCCAGCGGCGCGCTGTCTTCCCGGCTTCTGTAGTGTGCGTGACAGCCGGGTCCCAAGTGCGCATGCGCAAGAAGCAGTGCTCTTTGTGAATGGTAAGGCGGTACCTGGGACACGACAGATCCCAGAAGCCGCCGGACCAATCACAAAGCGCAGCGCTTCTCGCGCATGCGCACTGGGCATCCGGCTGTCCGACGAGCGCCCACACTACAGAAGCCGGGAAGACAGCGCGCGGCTGGATAAAGGAACAGGTAAGATAAAAAAAAAACTGCGGAAGTAAGAGCGGGTACCTGTCAAATTCAGGTACCCCCTCCCTCCCCAAAGGTCAGCAGTCATCTGTACTGTCCGCAGTCTCTGGTCATCCCTGTGCTTTCCGCAGTCTCTGGTCATCTCCTGTACTGTCCGCAGTCTCTGGTCATCCCTGTACTGTCCGCAGTCTCTGGTCATCCCCTGTACTGTGTCTGCAGTCTCTGGTCATCCCCTGTACTGTGTCTGCAGTCTCTGGTCATCTCCTGTACTGTGTCCGCAGTCTCTGGTCATCTCCTGTACTGTGCAGTCTCTGGTCATCTCCTGTACTGTGCAGTCTCTGGTCATCCCTGTACTGTGTCCGCAGTCTCTGGTCATCCCTGTACTGTGTCCGCAGTCTCTGGTCATCCCTGTACTGTGTCCGCAGTCTCTGGTCATCCCTGTACTGTGTCCGCAGTCTCTGGTCATCCCTGTACTGTGTCCGCAGTCTCTGGTCATCCCTGTACTGTGTCCGCAGTCTCTGGTCATCCCTGTACTGTGTCCGCAGTCTCTGGTCATCCCTGTACTGTGTCCGCAGTCTCTGGTCATCCCTGTACTGTGTCCGCAGTCTCTGGTCATCCCTGTACTGTGTCCGCAGTCTCTGGTCATCCCTGTACTGTGTCCGCAGTCTCTGGTCATCCCTGTACTGTGTCTGCAGTCTCTGGTCATCCCTGTACTGTGTCTGCAGTCTCTGGTCATCCCTGTACTGTGTCTGCAGTCTCTGGTCATCCCTGTACTGTGTCTGCAGTCTCTGGTCATCCTTGTACTGTTAATTAGTTTGCACTACTGTACGAGTTGTTTTTTCTAAACCAAAAGCTCGATATTCAGGTTTCATTCCAGTGTTGGCACTTTGAAAGAAATAAGTTGGTTTTGGGTTGCAGTTTGGGCACTCGGGCTCAAAAAGGTTCGCCATCACTGTTCTAGGGCATCCACACAAAATGAGCAGAGCAGAAGTTCATTGCTCAGTTAAGGCACAGTCCTGGAATATAGGGTGGTGTTGGTTGTTCATTGCCATAGTGCAATCAGCTGCAGTCTGCTAGACAGAAATTACAGCAATAGCTGGTTGCAGAGCTGGGCATGTGAAAAGAGAGCCCTTTATAAATGTCTTAATCTTCCTCCCTTCAGAGTATTTGAATGAAGGATCATCATCAGTTGGTACAGTGTTTAAGACTGAGACAGCAAGATCAACTATCAGAACAGAACACTTATTATACTGAACGCTTTTTCCACTGAACAGAGTTTGACAATGATTTTCGGAGGAGTAAAAATCTTTTATGGATTCACCCAATTGTCATAAATTGCCCATTCTGTTTATTCATGAACAGGGAATGTCAAGTCATTGTGGCGAAAGGGCATTAGGAAGCGTGGGAGTCCCTTATAAGGGCTCTAAGTGGAAGTGGCAATAAAGTGTGCAACCAGTAGTTGGATGTATCACCTGGTCATCCACTGGAGACGGAGCTCTGAGTGGTTGAGTCCAACACAAAGTTGGAAACATTAATGCTGTGAAGTGAATACATCTCAAACATACAGTGGGGATCGAAAGTTTGGGCACCCCAGCTAAAAATTTGTATTAATGTGCATAAAGAAGCCAAGGAAAGATGGAAAAATCTCCAAAAGGCATCAAATTACAGATTAGACATTCTTATAATATGTCAACAAAAGTTAGATTTTATTTCCATCATTTACACTTTCAAAATAACAGAAAACAAAAAAATGGCATCTGCAAAAGTTTGGGCACCCTGCAGAGTTAATATCTTGTACTGCCCCCTTTGGCAAGTATCACAGCTTGTAAACGCTTTTTGTAGCCAGCCAAGAGTCTTTAAATTCTTGTTTGAGGTATCTTTGCCCATTCTTCCTTACAAAAGTCTTTCAGTTCTTTGAGATTTCTGGGCTGTCTGTCACGCACTGCTCTTTAAGGTCTATCCATAGATTTTCAATTATGTTGAGGTCAGGAGATTGTGAAGGCCATGGCAAAACCTTCAGTTTACGCCTCTTGATGTAATCCCCCGTGGATTTCGAGGTGTGTTTAGGATCATTATCCATTTGTACAAGCCATCTTCTCTTTAACTTCAGCTTTTTCACAGATGGCATCAAGTTACCATCCAAAATTTGCTGAAATTTTATTGAATCCATTTTTCCTTCTACTCGTGAGATGTTCCCTGTGCCACTGGCTGCAACACAACCCCAAAGCATGATTGATCCAACCCCATGCTTAGCAGTTGGACAGAGGTTCTTTTCATTAAATTCTGTGCCCCTTCTTCTCCAAACGTACCTTTGCTCATTCCGACCAAAAAGTTCAATTTTAACCTCATCGGTCCACAGAACTTGTTTCCAAAATGCATCAGGCTTGTCTATATGTTCATTTGCAAAGTTCAAACGATGATTTTAGTGGTGAGGACGTAGAAGAGGTTTTCTTCTGATGACTCTTCCATGAAGACCATATTTGTACAAGTATCTCTTTATAGTGGAATAGTGTACCACAACTCCAGTGTCTGCCAGATCTTTCTGGAGGGATCGTGCAGTCAAACTTGGGTTTTGAATTGTTTTTCTCACAATCCTGCGAGCTGTTCTGTCTGATATTTTTCTTGGTCTACCAGATGTTGCTTTAACTTCCACTGTTCCTGATGACTGCCATTTCTTAATTACATTCCGAACAGAGGATATTGACATCTGAAAACGCTTTGCTATCTTCTTATAGCCTTCTCCAGCTTTGTGAGCATCAACTGTTTTCAGTTTCAGTTTTCTAGACAACTGCTTAGAAGAACCCATGGTGCTGATTGTTGGGGCAAGGTCAGATGAGTCTGGGCATTTAAAACCTTTGAGATTGACATCACCTGGTCTTCCCAGACGATGATTGAGAACAATCCATGACACTGGCAGGTCTCAGCTTGGCAAAGGGGGCAGTGCATGCTATAAATTCTGCAGGGTGCCCAAACTTTTGCAGACGCCATTTTTTTGTTTTCTGTTATTTTGAAAGTGTAAATGATGGAAATAAAATCTAACTTTTGTTGACATATTATAAGAATGTCTAATCTGTAATTTGATGCCTTTTGGAGATTTTTCCATCTTTCCTTGGCTTCTTTATGCACATTAATACAAATTTTTAGCTGGGGTGCCCAAACTTTCGATCCCCACTGTAGCTTTGGTTTTTACAGCAACAGTCAGAAATACAGGGTGACCCCTATCTTACCTGTCCTGGACCCTATATAGAGTTCAGAGTTCGCCCGTCATGGTGGGCATACCCACCGGAGGGGTCTTCAGATTCAAGGTCCATAGGAACAGACGATGGCCCTTGATCTGTATAGCACCCTGCGGCTAGTTACACGCATTACACATATTGGCAAAGTTCGCATTTATGCAGGATCTAGTGCCTGAAACAGCATTACAGGCTGTCCCCATTGTGTGGGTACGATTCCCAAGGTTTTACTGAGGTTGCAGTAATTGGGAAGCACTGCTTCTGATTGTAGTATTAGAAGACAGCAAAGTGTTGATTGAAGACTCCATGAAATAAGAAAGTAGTTAAGCTAAGAGTGATTTTCTGTAAAGCAGAAGAAGTCCATCACCTTCGGGCACTAGGAAAAAGGGAGGATTCAGAGTGGGATAGGGTTATAGTGGAGACACCAAGGGGCATGTCCAATCACCTAAAAGGTACAAGCCCATAACCCAGGATCTACGAATGCTCAGCCTGAATCTTGTAATGTATAATGAATATATTCTATTTTAACATACATGGATATGTTTGGCTGTGCAATGCTGTGCCAGCATTATCATTACATAATTCACGCCCCCAGCTCTACGTAGTATTTCAATTGCTGTTAAGTAAAATAAACAATATCTGCTTAACAACCCTTTTGAAGGTAGGCCTTTACTCTTAAGGGGTCTTCTATCAGCTTGTTGGGCTGTGGAAAATGGTCAGCGTTTACTCATCTCTTTCCACAGGTTCACACATTATTTAAGTATTTTATATCGTTTTATTCTGTTGATGAACGTCACTGCACAATCAAAATGTGCCTATGGCAACAAAAGGAAACAAAAGAAAAGGAAAGCTTTAAAATGACAGATAACACTTTTCAGTTACCTTCTCAAATTTCAATTTCACTGGTTTTGGATTTGTAGCAGTGACAGCTTCAGCAATTTCTTGACCAATCTTGAAGGACTGTTCTTTGGTAGCCCCTTTTAGCAGCACAAACATGCTGGAAATACAAAATGTACATATAAAAACATATCAGAGAACACTCTTTGTTTCATTTAAAAGGCAAGCCAACAGTGTAATTTAAAGGAAACATTTGGGGTACTTTAAAAACAAACATCCATACACGCTGAGATGCTGCAGCTGTCCCCTGCTAGGTCTAAGACCAAGAACAGAGTGATCACGACCGCCGACTGCTCAGGTCTCTGTCTTTTCAGAGCAGAGAGCAGTGACTGTCAGTCAATGCTCTCCACTATGCCCCTCTAGTGCTTACTGGAGTGCTGAGCTGGAGAAACAGCTGCCTGGAGCGACTCTGTGACATCAGCCAACAGCAGGCTTTAGCCCGCTGTCGGCTGATTGTGGGATACAGGAGAGTGAAAGTACGTGCACTCCTTTAACCCACCAGGGAAGTATGGTCAAAAAAGCTTTGGCCATACATCTTTTCGAACAAAAAAAAAAAACCTGACAGCAATTCTCTTTCCCACACAAGACAGCTGCAACTTCAATGTAATGTTTTTTTAATAGCATTTTATTTATACTTCTGCATATGATTTTACATACATGGCATTTAACTACCTGCCGACCGCAGATAGCCGAATGACGGCTGCACTGCGGCCGGCCAGTTCTGGGTGGACGTCATATGACGTCCTCCCAGAACGCGCTCTCCTGCGCGCCCCAGGGGGCGCGCACCCAGCGATCTCCGTGATCGCTGTGTCCTACGGACACAGCTGATCACGTGATGTGGTAAAAGGCCAATCACATCGGCCTTTTACCACGTGATCAGCGGTGTCCAATGACACGCTGATCAGAGGGAAATGCAAGTGCCAGTTCTCGGCTGCACTTTCCTCACGCTGTCAGATCGTGAGGAAAGTACTGCCGAGAACTGGCGGTTGTCAGAGCGGGGATCGGCACCGATCATCAGGGCACTGATGATCAGTGCCCTGATGATCGGTGCCCAGCAGTGCCACCCGCAAGCTCCGCCCACCTGTGCCCAGCAGTGCGCCCACTAGCTCCGCCCACCTGTGCCCAGCAGATCACCCACCTGTGCCCAGCAGTGCACCCACCTGTGCCACTCTGCAGTGTCACACACCTGTGCCCAGCAGTGCCACCCACCTGTGCCCAGCAGTGCCACCCACCTGTGCCCACCCACCAGTGCCACCAGTCAGTGCCCAGGGGTTGTGCCAGTCAGTGCCCAGCAGTGATGCCAGTCAGTGCCGTCTATCAGTACCCATCATCAGTGTCACCTATCAGTGCTGCATATTAGTGCTGTCTATCAGTGCCGCCTATCCGTGCCACCTCATTAGTACTGCCTATCAGTGCCCTTTAGTGCTGCCTATCAGTGCCCATCAGTGCCGCCTATCAGTGCCCATCAGTGCCGCCTATCAGTGCCCATCAGTGCTGCCTCATCAACGCACATCAGTGAAGGAGAAAAATTACCTGTTTGAAAAATTTTGTAATAGAAACAAAGAAACTTTTTTTTTTTTCAAATTTTTTGCACTTTTTGTATTTATAGTGCAAAAAGTAAAGCGCCCAGTGGCGATTAAATACCACCAAAAGAAAGCTCTATTTGTGAGAAAAAAATGATCAAAATTTCATATGGGTACAATGTTGCATGACCGCGCAATTGTCAATCAAAGTGCGGCAGTGCTGAAAGCTGAAAATTGGCCTGGTAAATAAGGGGGTATAAGTGCCCGGTAGGCAAGTGGTTAAGGAACAATAGAATAAGATTACTCTCTCATTACATTCGCACTTGGGATGCATCGAAATATCAGCGGCCAAAATGTATTGGCCGAAAATTGTGGTACTGGCATTTTGCCGATAGGAAAAAAAAGTGCCGATAATGGTCGCTGAAAATGCACGATTTTACCATGTTTAGGGTGTTTTTTTTCATAGGTCATGTGACTAAAACAAAACCGCATAAAAACGCAACACGAGCATTTTTGCTAGATTTTCAATGCATTTGAGGCCTGGTTCACACCAATGCAGTTTGGGTTTGTCCATTTAGCACTGCTTTTTAGAGTGCAATTTTGACACATTTTTTTGATGGGTTTTTATTTATTTATCTTTTGGCTAACTTGTTGCTGGGCAAATGAAAAAATGCAAAACGTATCAAAAATGCAACACGTGCGTTTTTGATGTGTTTTCAATGCATTTCAGGCCTGGTTCAAATCAATGCAGTTTGCATTTTGTCCACTTTGCAGTGCGTTTTTGCACACGGTTTTTATGCTTTTTTTAATGTGTTTTATGCATTAAAGCGCAAAACGCATCAAAAACACAGGAAGCACGTTAAAAATGCACTACATGCGTTTTCTGCAGCATCTCCATTGAAGTCTATTGAACCAAAAATGCAACATTTTGTGTTTAAAAAAGTCTTTGGCCCTGTACAAAAAAACAGCAGGTGCTGAAATAAATTAATATTCATTTAAAATTCATGATATTAATTGAAAAGTCAACTAGAATACAATTATATATAAAAAAATATACATTTTTTAAAAACTGTCCACTTCGGGTTCGGTTTTCGGCCAAATGCATCCTGAATTTCGGTCCAAGATTTTCATTTACATGTATCACTAGTTCGCCCGAATACTAATCCTCCTTCTCACCATGGATAACTCAACAGGAAGATATATGTATAAACATCTAGTTTTAATCTTTGAAATAGATGCCAAGCCTTCAAAGTCACACCTTCAAATATAGCTGAGAATTCCCAAGTTATAAATATCTGCTTATAATTAGAATGTCAAGGCTAGTTAATATGCTTTCAATATTACATTTTCTAAGGGATCTTATCTTTCAAGAGTAAACATGACGATGGAGGGAAATTATTTTCTCTAATGAAAAACCGATTCCCCACTATGCAGACTTTACCTGTTCCTTACTTGTCCACACAGGAGATCATCATAATAAAAAATTGTGAAACCTTGAACAGGGTGTTAAACAACGAAGCCCCAAAGATATGCCCCGCAGTGAACAGGGTAGCCAAATCTATGACCAATACTCATTCTACAGTTTGATACCTTGCCTCTTTCTACTTTACACTAGGTGGCAATAAAGCTGTACAGAAAGCACTGCCAGTGAATTAGCCTTTCTTTAATAAATCAATACAAATAGTCTGGCTCTTATTGGCTGTTCTTCAGTACACATTGACTTCACTTCAGTGTGGTTGAATACCTCTAATAAAATTGGTCTCCTGGGCATAACCTTAAAACTACGGCATATTCCTCTAAAGCAGTGATGGCGAACCTTTCAGAGGCCGAGTACCCAAACTGCAAACCAAAACCGACTTACTTATCGCAAACTTCCAAACACTGCAATTAAACCTGAATACTGAGGTTTTAGTTTAGAAAAATAAGACTACTCATACATTAACATCTTTTGTTTTAAAAGAAAAACACAACAGAGCTTTCAATGATACAGCTTTTTTTTTTTGAAAGGTAAAAGTTTGCATTTGGGGTTCTTTTGCACAATTAATGTTCACCTAATCACCAATATGGAGTGTATTGCAGTGGATGGTTTGCACAGGAGAGGGGTACGGAGTGTATGGTGGCAGGTGATATGTACAGGAGAGGAGTGTGAAGTGTGTGGCGGTGGGTAGTTTGTGCAGGAGAGGGGTATGGAGTGTTTGGCGGTGGGCCGTATGTACAGGAAAGGGATACGGAGTGTATGGCAATGGGTAGTATGTGCAGGAGAGGGATATGGAGTGTATGGCGGTGGGTAGTATGTGCAGGAGAGGGATACGGAGTGTATGGTGGCAGGCAGTATGTACAGGAGAGTAGGGCAGAGTGTATGGCGGTGGGTGGTATGTGCAGAAGACAGGTATGGAGTGTATGGTGGTGGGCAATATGTACAGGAGAGGGATACATAGTGTATGGTGGTGGGTGGTATGTGCAGGAGAGGGGTACGGAGTGTATGGTGGTGGATAGTATGTATAGGAAAGGAGTGCAGAGTGTATGGTGGTGGGTGGCATGTGCAGGAGAGGGGTAAGGAGTGTATGGCGATGGGCAAGATGTACAGGAGAGGAGTGCAGAGTGTATGGCGGTGGGTGATATGTGCAGAAGAGAGGTATGGAGTATATTGTGGTGGTCAATATGTACAGGAGAGGGGTACATAGTGTATGGCGGTAGGTGGTTTGTGCAGGAGAGGGGTACAGAGTGTATGGTGGTGGATAGTATGTATAGGAAAGGAGTGCAGAGTATATGGTGGTGGGTGGTGGGTGGTATGTGCAGGAGAGGGGTAAGGAGTGTATGGCGGTGTGTGATATATACAGAAGAGGGGTACAGCATGTGCATGAGCAGTTGGTGGTAGTACCAGCTGTGACAAATTAGGAAAGCAAGGTATATTATTACTATTACGTGAACTGCTGCAATGGAAGGCGATGATGGGAATGGGGTGCAGAGTGGAAAAGCAGCAGGGGAAGAAGAGAGTGCGATAAGCAGTTGAGTGGTAGAGTGAGCATGGACACTGGCAGTGGAGGAAAAAAAAAAAAAAGTTCTGGCAGGATGAAGGAGCAATGAAGTAGGATTGGAGGATTGCTGGCAGTACTCTGAGTCTGGGACAGTTGCAGATAAGAGATGGGCACTGGTGAAAGGATTGCCTAGCATACAGAGGAATAACACAAGTAGGTGACAAGACTGTGGAATGCAAAAGGCTGAGAATGAATTGTCGGCTCAACAAGGGGGAAGGGGGGGGTGTAAGTGGGCTGCTGTGGGTGTAGTGAAAGCCAGACAAGCAGTGGGAGAGAAAAAAAGACTACAGTGAGCGGCTGGAAAGATGGATCAAGTGTGGGGATTTCTTATCAAGGCTGAAGTGATGCGGGCAGAGATTCTGTCATTTACCTTCTACAAAACAGATACCGTGTACAGAGGCAGTTTAGTTCACAGAGGCAGGAGAGGGTCACAGCAACGCTGCATAGTGAAAGAAGACAGGAGCAGGAGTCAGCTGTCAGACTCTTCTTGCTGGGCTGCATACAGGGACTTCTATCACCTGCTAATCATACACAGTGCTGAGTGATGGCAACAGTACCCCCAAGGTCAGAGCTGGCCCAATGTGCTCATCCATGGGTGCACTGTTGGTTAGAGCACAGCCCCCCCCCCCGGGCTCTCTTGCTAGTGCTAGGTAAGAGGGCCCAGGCCCCCTACAGGAGGTCCAGTGGTACCCCCTTATCAGCGGCCCTGCCGAGTGAGGAGGACTTACCAGACTGTCAACGATCCCTCCTCTCCGGATCGGACGGATTCTGGTCCGAGCTCTATCCTGTACGCTCTCTACTCCCTGCAGTAACCAACTGCCCCTCCCTGCAGTCATGTGCAGTCCTATAGAGGCCCTACTCCTTTCCATGCATGCGTATTGGTGCAGTTATCAGATGCTCGCCTGATGGGGTGCCGACAGAGAGGGCTCTGTGTTCCCGCTGTGGCATGCGTGCCATAAGTTCGCCACCACTGCTCTAAAGGATGTCCGGATGTCAAAGAGTCTCAGCTACTGTTTGTATATGGAAAGGGCTGTTTATAGAACTGGCCTTGTACTATAGATCAAGAAATAACACATACCTGTCAGTGTCACCATACACCACTTTGGCTCCCCATTTCTTGGTGCTGTTGACCAGCTTTATAGCACGCTCCAAGGTCTCCCGAGCTTTGTGGACAATGCTGTCTCCAACCTAATAACAAACATGGCATATGTCAGCTACGCATAAGGATTCCAACCTATGTGCATCATAACATAAAAAACCTAAGTTTCTCAACCTGCAACTTTTTTTCTTCCAACTGTTTATTAACAGTAAGTGACAGATTCTTCAATCGGCTTTAGGTACAGGCACCAGCATCTTAAGTAAGGTAAACTGGCAGGGAAGCCTTGTGGCTTCACAGTCAGTTGCCTACTACACATGCGTGAAGCGCTCTGCACTTTATGAATGGTCCCGTAGTCCAGGCTGCAGGAGGGGGGGGGGGGGGGGGGGGGGGGGGGGGGGGGTGGACTTCCAGCTCAGATCACCACGGTGCATCTGGCGGACGTGGGAGTAGGTACCTGTCAAAACCAAGTACACCTCGCGCCACCCAAAAAGTGCCAAATATGGCGAGGAAGGGGGGAGGATGTAAACAAGCAGAACGTCCCCTTTTTGGGTGAAGTTTCGCTTTAACTACAGTGCATAGACGTGAACTAGATACAAGGGTTTAACATGATTTGTATGTGAAATGCATTTTTGGCAGTAAAACTTGCATTTTACTGCAGCAAAACAGACAAGTATTAAATGGTTCTTACACAAATGCAGACTCTTGCAAATCGTCACCAAATCAAATGTAAGCAAGAACTGTGAAATAAGTGACAAAGAAGCTCAAAGAACATAGGATAAAAAGGCAGAAATATACAGTACATAAGAAATTGTTATAATTGATGAAGAGGGTCCGTCCTGTGAAACACGCTAGCTGGCAAGTCTTGGTGACTCCAGGGTCGTGCTGATACTTACCTTCACGAGGGCTATCCTGCCACTTGGCTCTGGTCTATATTGCTGAATCAGCCTTTGGGTATTGTTAGTATGCACTCATTACTTTTCCATTTTTAGTAGAGTTTTATCTGGTAAAGCACACTTCCCTTGAAGCCCTTTTGTTTTCTCTGTAGGTCATTTACCTCCACACATGGCATTCTCCCAGAGAAGTTAGCAGCAGTGTAGCCAAAAGTTACATTGGCTATTAATTTCAGACCAAGCTGACGGGCATCAAGCATTCGTGTAAGGCTTTTGTCATGTTTGTATTCTTTCATAGACTGCTTAACCATTATCCTGGTGTTCAAAATATCTTCAAGCATACGTGGCAGCACCCCCTTTCTGACAGAGGCCTAAAAAAAATAAAATAAAAAAAATATCAGTAGTGGATACAACTGAAAAAAATATAGGGAAGCTACAACAAAGTGAAAAGTTTTACCAAGCTAGATTTACACAGATAAACAGGGAGGAGGCCTGGCGACATCAGTTTTCCAAGATGCATATGAAAAGCCTAGGCAACTTAAAGCCATCATTAAGTACTGGGGATCCAATTCTTATGAACTGCCAAAAGCTTTTGTCCCTAAATTTGCTGTACCCCCACTGAATGTTTTTCCAAATCTAAAGGGTTGACAACATTTAAAAAGTTTTAAGAAATAAAAAGAAACCAATAAACGATGGAATGCCAGGTGTTCTTACCTTTACAAAAGCAACCCCGTTAGGAGATATTGTAATATCATGTCGAAGTTGATGTAGCAGGTCTGGGGGAACACACAACGATGTGCAGCCAAATTTGCACTCTTCACACCTGGAAAACACATCATATAACTGTCTGTTTGTTCAGTTTACAGCCAGAAGCTATCGACAAATACAAAAAACGCAATCTCACGCAAAACCATAGTATGGTTACATGTATGCTGTAAATCTTTCCATAAATACATGGCAAGTAGTTAATTCAAATAACTATCATCCATAGCAATAATATTTTTAGTATTAAGGGAAATCTCCACTCTTGTAAAAATCTCAATTCTTTCGGCACCAATTCCAACAACCTTTTCTGTATCTTAATCAGCAAGGATAAAACATTATTTCCCACTTTTGTGTCACACTGTGCAGTAAGTAGTACTGTGAATATACATAGCAAAAGTGAGGCTACAACAAATCAAATGGTCAGATCTCTATCACCTTCTGGGTCTCAACACAATGTCTGCCCATGTATGGCCAGCTTAATATACAGTACATGCTTACATTATTCATTTATTTCTACAGCACAAACATACATAGAAGCAAAAAAGCAGAGTCCTTACTTCCCCAGGTTCTCCATGTTCCCCAGGCAGGTAGAGAAGCAGTAGTTGTATGCAATCACTATAGAGGGGTACAAAGACTGGAAATCAAGAACCAAAATAGAGTTGCTGTAGAATTTGGACTCCGGCTCCATTACAAGTGGGATACATTGGGGGGCTCTCATCTGAGCACGCTGCTGGATGCTGGGTGTTAAAGGGATGTAATTCATTGGCTTAGCAATACGTAGCATCACTGACTCAACCCGGTACTAGGGAAATAAAAAAAAATTAATATACATTTTTCATTTATTTAGCTTTACTGGAATAGGAATACTTTCTGAATAATAAAGAAAACAAACAAAAAAAATACATCCAAACTTACACCACTATGAAATTGCCAACAATCTTCTAAGATCTAAGTTCAAGGAGAATGAGAGGGCTCTGGTGCTAGAGATGGGCAAGTGAATACATGTGCACTTGATACCGTTGTAGAACCCCCCACTTTATTACTTGATATGACCATGCATGTGATTGTATTCCATTATTTAAAACATACAGTTTTCTCTGTATAGTTGTGTGCCTCTGTACATGGTTCTTTAATTTGTGATGTCTGTATGACCATGTCTAAAAAAAAATCCAAAAAATAAAAAGCAAAACAAAAAAAACACCTATCTGATAAAAATAAAATCTGATTTAAAAAAACCCAAAAACGCAAACATCATTCAATAACGCAATGTTAGGTGCCTAAGCAACCTGTTGGCAGGTCTGCACTGTCACATGAAGGATGGGGCGTTTATGTTCGTATGAGAAAGTTGCTACTTGTAAAACTAGGTAAGCAGAGCTTTGGTAACACTGGGAGTATAGATACTGGAAGTAACCCTTCAACGCCATATGGTGCCAAATATTTTTCTCCCAGTGCTGTCACTTTTGGAGTTTTATTGAGACAAAAAGTTCAATACTATTGCCAGACACTTTAAATCACTTAAAAGCTAAAACTTAAGGGGTACAAAACAATAATATATTAAAAAGATGTTACCGAGAAGCACCCTGCTGTCTTGGATGCTTTCTAATAATAATGATGCTGGAGAATGAGCAGGATTGAGTAGCCGCAAATACATAATTGTAAAAAAACAAAACCTCAGCGCTCAGGACTTCCTATTTACCATACAAATCCCCGTGAGATGCTGCTGTGCACAGGTACAAAGGACCAAAAACTTTTAACAATGAAAACCAGCGCAAACCCACATGATCAATTACATTACTCAGTTTAAAAAAACATTAATGTGCTAATAAAGTAAATTATATATAAAATATATTGATATATAAAAATTTAAAATTATAAGTCCAGTGACAAAAAAGCAAAGTGACAAAAAATCAAAAAAATAAAAAAAAAACCCCAAAAAATATATATATACTGTATATATATATATATATAATTACAGTCCCGTGACAAAATTAAATCAAATTAAATTATAATATATTTTCCATTTGATTCTTCCGTGTTACTGATCCCTTCACCATCCACCAGTGCAGAAATCAACATTAACCGCACTCACCAGATAATGGTGAGTCACACGCCTTTCAGGATTGTTAAGGGCTCCTGGACCCCCTTTACTTTGTCTGAGACCTCCAAGTGCTGTTTCCTCTTATGTCTAGGTACCTCTTCTGCTTACTCCTCTCACCGAATCCCCCAAAGGAAAATCAGGAAGAAGAAAAGACCATAGCGTGATACCGCAGTAACTTCTCCTCAAATTAATCTCTCCAGACCACTCACATTCTTTTGCGGGGTATAGCCCACTTTTTATTCAAAACAACAGCGATTCTCTTCAAGAATGATCCACTTTTCATGTACACCGATTATACAAGGACCCCACAGTTTAGTGTGCAGCAGGATGGCAGACCTCAGCTACAGACTCTTCTACTTAGGCTAAGATGGCCCCTTGGAACGCACCGCTCGGCGTGCGCTCCACTCACCGGAAATGACGACGGACCAGGCAACCGGAAGTGCGTCAACGCGTTTCGCCCCACCCACAGGGCGTTATCAAGACGCTCATTACCACTTCCCAGCCGCTTATAAAGCTTTGGGAGATCCCTCCCACTAATTCCTCTGGCACAAAAACCTGGATACAAGCATGTCAATCACCGCCATCCATCTGCACACCCATGTGGGGTCCCTTTACATCAGAAACCATTACAAGAAATATATTGCTTAAAGGACACATTACTTCAAAAACATACTTTACTTAAAAAACATTCTTTAGATAAAAAATAATACTTTTAATCCTAAGTCTTCAACCCCACACACAAGGGAGAAGACCAATAAAAAAAATAAATGCAAATAAAAATAAATAAAAATAAAAATAAAATAAAAAAAATAAAATAAAAATAAAAATAAAAGTAAAAATAAAAATAAATAAAAATAAAATTTTTTTATTAAAATAAAAATTTTTTTTAAATAAAAATAGAAAAAAATATAAAAAAAAAAAATAAAAATAAAAATAAAATAAAAATAGAAATAAAAATAAAATATAAAAAAAAAATATAAAAATAAAAATGAAATTCACAAAGATCTTAATAAACCCCCCGGGAGACCCATTGTTAGTGGGATAGATTCATTGTTTTGTAGACTGGGTGAATATGTGGATAAATTTCTACAACCTCTAGTTCCAATGTTTCCAGCGTACCTGAGGGATAGTGGTGATCTGATTAATCTGATTAAGGGAATAAGGGAAGAGGGGAAATGTGTGATGGCGAGTGTGGATATTAATTCCCTGTACACTAACATAAGGCATACGGATGCATTAGGATCTGTTAGATGGGCCTTGGAGGCTAAGGCAGGCTTAAAACCACAACAAACTGAATTTTTACTTAATAGTTTAAATTTAGCTATGTCACATAACTACTTTTGGTACTCTGGGAAATATTATAGGCAAGCAAGAGGCGTGGCCATGTGGGCCAAGTATGCACCATCGGTGGCTAACTTGTTCATGAGTAGGTGGGAAAATGAAGCTATTTTTAAGAAACAAACCACAGAGTTGCTGGTGTATAGAAGATTTATCGATGACATCTTTATAATCTGGAGAGGTACAAGAGAGACACTGGAGGAGTTTATCCAAGAAATGGGGATTAATTCTTTATAACATATCATTTACTAAAAATATTAGTGAGGTGGCAGTTGATTTTTTGGATCTGACAATTTACAAGAAAGATGACAGGTTCTACACTAAGACATATTTCAAGCAAGTAGATAGGAATGGATATATCCCAAGTTTTAGTTGTCACCATAAAAATTGGCAAATCCATCCCTAAGAGTCAGCTTATTAGGATCAAACGTAATTGTGATGATGGTGTTTTTTTTGGAACAGGCTGAGGTGTTATTGCAAAGGTTTAGGGAGAAAGGATATAGAGAAGAAAATTTGGCTGTTTCATTAGAACAGGTTAAAAAGATTAGTAGAGATGAACTTCTTAAGAAAAAAGCAAGTAAAAACAAGTTGGGGGATGTGGCTTTTATCACAGGATATTCTAAGCATTACAAATTAGTTGAAAACATAATTAAAAAATATTGGTCTATTTTGATGAGGGATGAAACGCTTGGGAAAGTGTTACCTAGTAAACCCTTGTTTATATATAGAAAACCGACTACTTTAAGGTCTAGACTTGTTAAAAATGTTCCAGATGTACCTAAAAAATTGGTTACTTTCTTGGATAGGGCTGGTTTTTTCAAATGTGGGAGGTGTTTGGTTTGTAGAACCCTGAAAGGGGATAAAAAGAAGCAAATAAAGGTTTTTCAATCCTGTTATAATGGAGGATCCCATAAGATCAATAAATTCATATCATGTGATAGTACGCATGTGACCTATCTGCTGGAGTGCCCCTGCAAGCTCCAGTATATAGGGAGAACAACTAGGAAACTTGCCACCAGATTGGGAGAACATATTAGGAACATAAAGAAGGGATTCAAACATCATAGTTTATCATATCATTTTAGAAGATATCATAATAGAGATCCGGCATCGTTGAAATTTTGTGGGATAGATAGAGTAGAAGCCCCATGGAGGGGAGGTAATATGGTAATAAATGTGTCCCAAAATGAAACGAAGTGGATTTATCAAATGGGTACATTGCATCCCAATGGGTTGAATGTAGATATTGATATAAACTGTTTCTTGTCGAATTGGTAATATCCAGTTATAGGTCCGTAGTGCGTGTTCATGATTAGGTTTTTATTTTAATTAGGTTATTTTATTTCTTTTTTATTTTATTTTTGATTTATATTTATTTTATTTTTTTTTTATTTTTTTTTTTATTTTTTTTTTTTTTTTATTTTTTATATTTTATTTTTATTTTTTTTTTTTTATTTTTTATTTTTTATTTTTTTTTTCTATTTTTATTTAAATTTTTTAAAATTTTATTTTATATAAAAAATTTTTATTTTTATTTTTATTTTTACTTTTATTTTTATTTTTTATTTTTATTTTTTATTTTATTTTTTTTTTTTTTTTATTTTTATTTATTTTTACTTGCATTTATTTTTATTGGTCTTCTCCCTTGTGTGTGGGGTTGAAGACTTAGGATTAAAAGTATTATTTTTTATCTAAAGAATGTTTTTTAAGTAAAGTATGTTTTTGAAGTAATGTGTCCTTTAAGCAATATATTTCTTGTAATGGTTTCTGATGTAAAGGGACCCCACATGGGTGTGCAGATGGATGGCGGTGATTGACATGCTTGTATCCAGGTTTTTGTGCCAGAGGAATTAGTGGGAGGGATCTCCCAAAGCTTTATAAGCGGCTGGGAAGTGGTAATGAGCGTCTTGATAACGCCCTGTGGGTGGGGCGAAACGCGTTGACGCACTTCCGGTTGCCTGGTCCGTCGTCTGACGTCATTTCCGGTGAGTGGGCGCGCACGCCGAGCGGTGCGTTCCAAGGGGCCATCTTAGCCTAAGTAGAAGAGTCTGTAGCTGAGGTCTGCCATCCTGCTGCACACTAAACTGTGGGGTCCTTGTATAATCGGTGTACATGAAAAGTGGATCATTCTTGAAGAGAATCGCTGTTGTTTTGAATAAAAAGTGGGCTATACCCCGCAAAAGAATGTGAGTGGTCTGGAGAGATTAATTTGAGGAGAAGTTACTGCGGTATCACGCTATGGTCTTTTCTTCTTCCTGATTTTCCTTTGGGGGATTCGGTGAGAGGAGTAAGCAGAAGAGGTACCTAGACATAAGAGGAAACAGCACTTGGAGGTCTCAGACAAAGTAAAGGGGGTCCAGGAGCCCTTAACAATCCTGAAAGGCGTGTGACTCACCATTATCTGGTGAGTGCGGTTAATGTTGATTTCTGCACTGGTGGATGGTGAAGGGATCAGTAACACGGAAGAATCAAATGGAAAATATATTATAATTTAATTTGATTTAATTTTGTCACGGGACTGTAATTATATATATATATATATATATATATATATATATATATATATATATATATATATTTTTTTTTTTTTTTTTTGGGGTTTTTTTTTTGATTTTTTTGATTTTTTGTCACTTTGCTTTTTTGTCACTGGACTTATAATTTTAAATTTTTATATATCAATATATTTTTATATATAATTTACTTTATTAGCACATTAATGTTTTTTTAAACTGAGTAATGTAATTGATCATGTGGGTTTGCGCTGGTTTTCATTGTTAAAAGTTGCAAATACATAATTGTCTTGATCACCAATGGCTGCAGCATGTTTGACCCAAAAAAATTTGACTTGCCTGTAAATTCCATATCTTGGCAATAGTATTGAACAGGCCTGATATTCAAAGACCCTGAGTTATATGCTGCTACCTTCTGTGATTATAAACTGGCAAAAAACACAAACGCACGCACGCACGCAATGAAACAAAGGGGTTGGTCATAATAGAGCAGTGCCAACAGACCAAACAATGGTCAAAGATGCAACTTAAAGTGCAGCTAAAAGAACCTTGAAGAAACTGAAGGCTACATCCAGACCCAGACAACAAGCTGGAGAAAGTAAGAACTGAAGACCAGGTGGTGGCCTTACAAAGCTGGGCAACAGATGCTTGATGTTAACCACTTCCAGACCGGCCGCTGTATATAAATGGCCGGACGGTGGCACTGCAGGGTCGGGTGGTAATTTATAAACGGCCTCCCCCGCACCCTGCTTGTGCGCGATCCGGTGCCCACTATGTCCTCCGACACAATGAAACCATGGTGACACTGTACTGCTAGGGTGACAATATATATATATATATATATATATATATATATATATATATATATATATATATATATATATATATATTAAAAAAATTATAAAAAAAATAATATTAAAAAAAAAAAATGTAAAAAAAATGTTTAAAAATTATAATTTTTGGTTATAAACTAATTTGGCTTATTTTTGTTTTTTACTAAAACAATAACGGAATAAATTTTGGCCAAGATTTATGATGACAAAAATACTTTTTTTTCAAAATGTTTGGACATTTTCATTTACATAGCAAAAAAAATTAAAATCCCAGCGGTGAATAAATACCACCAAAATAAAGTTTTATCTGTCTAACAAAATTGGTAAAAAAAATCATATGGGTACAGTGTTGCATGACCGCGCAATTGTCATTCAAAGTGTGATAGCACTGAAAGCTGAAATTACCCTGGTCAGGAAGGGGGTAAAAGTGTCCGGACTGGAAGTGGTTAAGAAAGCCTATAAAACACCAACTGATCTGCTGGATTGAGCATGTAAAGTTACCGGAGGCACTTATTCTTTTAGAGCATAAGCCCTCACAAGGGATTATCTCATTCATCTAGCAATATATAGTTCTTCAATTTAATACAAGAAAAAAAAAAAAAAAAAGCTCTAATGCTCATAAATTCCTGTGAATAGTACCTAAAGAGAAAGATGTACAAGTGTGAGGAAGTTATTCAAGGGAGGCATATTAGATTTATAAGTTAAATATACTTCTGTTCATGGGTATTAACAGTAATTGTCCCAGCTATTTATGAAATCCTCTCTTAATTGCCTCCAACATACAATGAGAACAATTAAAAATGAAAAGGTTTGCAACAAATCGGTTTAATATTTTGTTTGCCCATTTCACTCCACACAATGTAACATTCTATATTCTTTCTCACATCTTCTATGAACATAATTTAACATATAACCTCCAATAACAATGCACAATTTTATCATGTGGTAATTGTTTATCTAAATTCTCTGATTCAAAATACTTTTCAATACTTGCTGTAGTGGTAACATATTCCTTATTATCACTATTTGGGTATTTTATTAACCACCTTAGCAGAAAGGAAACCTAATGCCTTATATAGGAAATCTTGTTTTTACAACATAAGCACTATTTAAAGCACATGGTCCAGCAGCACTACAGTAAAAAGGAAGAGGAAAAAAAAAATATGCTCCTATCATAAATTATCTTGCCACGATCCATGCTGGTGCAAAAAGATAGAATCCTTCAGGTCCCTTTCACACTGACAGACTGATCGAGTCTGTCTGTCAGTTTTTCAGGTGGACCCGATTGGACCATCCATAGCTCTCTGTGTCAGCTGACAACTTCCGGTGTCCAATCCAATCCTGTCCGCTAACAGATGGATGGGGATCAGTTTCCCATCTGTCTGGTGCATCAGATGACTGTCAGATGGAAACAGACAGACTGTTTGTTTCCATCCGACCTCCCATAGAGAACAGTGGGCGGTGCCTGTGTCCACTCTACATAGCAGAGCAGACACAGACCTCTCATCCACCTGCTCAACGGAGATCAGTGGAGAGATCCCCCCGCTGAGCAGGTGGATCTGCTTGACAGAGTCTGCCCCATCTGAAAGGGGCCTTAGAGGACATATTTGTATTTCAAGATAAATTAAAGAAAAAATGCTCATATTTTACCTGTGATCCTCTGGTTAAAACATGTAAAAACTGAATGCCAAAAAGTCTCGCCAATTCACTGGTTCTTCCAATTAAGTCCAAATGTTCCAATAACTGGAGAGTCCCATGCACCCTGCTCATGTAATGTTCTGTCATCCGCCATCTGTATACACATCAAGATTTGCATAAGAAAAATACACATATGAATTGTACATCTTAGTTCAGCAGGAAATTCAATTTTTTAAAAATGTCAACACTCAAAATTTACACATGGCATATATGAAATGTGAGATTTACGATCCTTGAAAAGCAACAAACACTGCTACAATATTTCACGCCAAAGAATTAGACACAGAAGTTATAGTATAGAGCCTGTTTATAAAGGGGGAAATCAAGAAAACAGTCCCACTGCTTGCATACACAAAGACAACTGTCACAGCTTCTAGCCTCCAGGTGTGCTTGTCATGGTAAAATCTACATTGTGAAACGTTTGTACTATTATGATCAATTTGTTTTATTTCTGAAAAAAGAAGAGATTTCAGAAAACACTGAAAAGTGGATTTTATCAGTTTTCTGCAAACATTACCTGTAAACATCTGATTTATGATCAAACCAATCTGATAATGTCCGAAGAGTAAAAAGAGGGAACCTCTGGTGAAGGACATGAAAGGCCACATTTTCAAAAGTATAATTAGTTAGAGCCACCTGGAAAATAGGAATGGCAGGATACTTTAATTAAAAACAAAAAAAAAACAAATACTAATCTAAATCAGCAATATTATTATCTATACAGTATAAGCAAAGCAACGTTTAGGCATTTTCTTTTTAGAAAAAAGTACTAATATATATACATATATATATATATATATATATATATATATATATATATATATATATATATATATATAATATATATATATAATATATATATATATATATATATATATATAATATATATATATATATATATATATATATATATATTTCACCACCAGAGAAGTTACAGGAACCTTGGTATAGAAACACTGAGAAATACTTGTTTGCTTCTTACATACTGACTCTATGAAGTCAACGTACTACAACTCTGTCACTGTTCTTATTTCTTGTCCATTTGTCCACATATAATGGTCTCCATGGTAGACAGTGTGTACACTTTCATAGGTTTTTGTTGTTTTAATTAGGTATTAGTGTAGGTATTTGGGTGGGGCCTCGGAGGTGACGTCACCACATTGAGTGAGCTGTCAGCGTCCATTGAGACCAGAGTAAACCTTTTGATTCTTATGGTTAACATGCGTTTTATGTCGGCTCTGACACTGCAAAATGTGAGCGCATTGGAGAGATTTTTAAATTAATAAATGTTTATTATGGTTTTACACTATGTGGATTCCTTCCTCTTCTTCTTTGAGCCCATTCTCAATATAAGAGCCTAGTGTCATTTGAAGTGCTTTTCAATCAGCTGGTTATGACTCTACAGATTGTTTCTCCCAGAGCTTAAGCGTTTGTTGCTGGTTTATAACTTTACCAGCATGGAGCTCTGGTGAGTTTATTCATTTCATTCGGTGGTGGATTTTGCACAGTGTTTTGTGTTAAGTCACATTGAATTTTTATTACAGAAGAAAATAGCACATATCTACTTATTCTTGGGACACTATATATGATTATTGGACATTTATTTCATATGGACACGTTTGCTGGACACCGATTTATTTGTTTATAGTCAAATTTTCACAATATTTTTATTGTATTCACAATAATTTTTGCACTTTTATTAAGTTATTATATATTTTATTGCACTTTTTATTTGTATATTTGGAGATATATATTCTATGAGGAGTGCTGTCTTCTATGTCTAGTTGGTTTATATGAACCTTGCTTCAAGGGTAAGATTAGCTGCTCTTCCACACTTCCTATATTTTTATTATTACTGTTCCCAGTGGCGCTGTCCATTATTCTAAACATTAGTGTAGGTATAATCCCTGTGCCATTTGTTTGCCTTACCATGAAATGATGGGCTCATATGTTGTGCTTGCAAGTGTAGCATGATTGATTGATTCCACTATATCCATGTATTCATTCACCTAACTTATTCCTGTTCACTAAAGAGAAAGCAACTTCTTGTTCTTAGTCGTGCAGCGCCCAATCCATTCCTTGCCTTTTCCTCTGCACTGCATATATGGAGTGCTAATATGATGAAACACATCTTCTTCCTCATTGACCTGCCTGCTTGTGTCTATTTTAAATCTAGGTTCTATGCAGCTTTCACCTGCAAAACACTAGACTAATGCAGGCCATAGACGGTTCGTTTATCTGCCGATTTTTCATCCAAAAAACGAAACATCGGTCGTTCTGTTGCCACCAAGGATTGCGAATATCAATTTTTCACAAATTTTCCAGCATGACCAATAGAAGAAATGAGGAGGAACCGCGAAAATAGGCCGACACCATTGCCCCACTAACAGTGTGAAAATCGTCCGATTATTATGTCGGACGAAAAATCGGCCAATAAACGAACCTTCTATGGACTGCATAAGAGACCCTAAGATTTGGGATATGTAGTTTCTTCACAGAAGTGTCAGTTTGCAGACTACAGAAAGAGTTCATGCATTAACCCATGCAATTCCATGCAGCATGCCTCATATTTGAAGACAAACTGCTGACAAAGGAATGTGAAGGTTTACTCTATTGTAGGCTGTGTGTACTAGACAACAAATTACACCATGATACTACACAACCAATGCATATCTTATTGCAGCTGAAAAACACAAGGCGCTGGTTGGAAGATTTATACCTTTATGCCCATTCTGCCTTAGGCTGCATTCACACTTGAGTGATTTATAGCTTGAAGCTCCAAAAACGCTCAAACATAAAAAAAAATAAATTGTGCTCTATGGGGCCTGTTCACACTTGATCATGTGAACAGACACCATTGATTTTTTTTTTTTTAGCATTTTTGGAGCTTCAAGCTACAAATCACTCAAGTGTGAATATAGCCTCAAAGTTATTGGCATTTACCAACAGGTGAAGCTGCAGGTAAAATCTACGGTCATGGCTCCTAGGATTGGTCTAACCAGTTATTTGCAGTAAAGCCTTCGTGTTACTACTACAGGATGTAGTCAGAATCATTTTAAATGTTAAAGGAAATCCTTTCAATCAATGAGGAACATTATATACACATAAAAAAGAGCTGTCAAAGAACTGACAGCATGCAGGACACATTTCTTCATTGTGAGCAGATATATGTTATGTAAGCATGCTGCTGCAACCTGTCATGTGTAACCTTAAGGCCCAGTTCACATTTGGCGTTTGCAGATTCTGCCTGCGATCTCAAAACGCATTGCAACAGTGGGAAAACGGTGATCAGGTGATGCAGTTTGCTGCAATTGCAGCGTGATTTATCACGGCAGAACCACACCTCGTTTAGGTGCCATCGAAAATGAATGGCATCTGAACACGTGTGGTGGATTTTTCCATTAGTGCAGTATGTTTTGAGATTGCAGGCAGAATGGCAGCGATTCTGCCTGAAATCCCAAGATATCAGATGTGAACTGGGCCTTAGTGTGCATCTGATGTGACAGTTCACAACCAATTGAGTTTATTTATTGTTAGAGTTAGGTTTATAAGAAAATTGGGAAATTTTCCCAGTGAATCCTTTAGAGCAGATAGTCTTTGTGACATCCAACAGTATTTACCTGGCATGCCACAGTCATAAATGTGTATCAGGCGACTGTAGCAAAAGGTCAACTATCCAAAGTACAGTAAGCTGTCCAACAGTTTTTGAGCCTGCAGGTGAATTTTTTAGACCATTTTAAGAGTATGAAAAAAACCCAACATTTCAGATTCCTGATATGTGCCTGCTGTATTATGTACTTGTATGAAAAAGCATCCTCTTCTCATTGTATTGTTTCCTTGGTGTGAATTCGCTGATGCTCCTGCCAGTCCCTCTGCTTTGCTTTTATCACTTATAAAACGGGAAAAAATGTATTTTTTTTTTATCAATATACAATATATTTTGTTTCTATTTTTAAACTGAATAGATTGTTTTACAAGGTGACGGGTTTATATACAGTATATTTTAACCTCACTTCTCTATGGACTGTTGATAAGTGAATGAGAAAAGAGTTGTGCTGATTCTCTGGACTCCAAAGAAAACCTGAAGAGGGATCCGACAAGGGAAGTTTTAAACATCTCGGAAACCTCGAATTTAAATAATCGGGAACAATTTGATGTTTTCCTTATTGTGCTTGTTGACTCTTGCTTTTATACCCACATGCATGGTAAATTGGCAAGGGGTCCCAAGGACCCTAAATGCAGTTCACCTGGGAGGAGGGACGTAAGTGGCATATAAGCTACCTTTTAGTTGACACCTCTCCTGAGCACCAGGTGTACAGAAGAGTCAAGAGCTCATAAGCACTTGGGCACCAGTGCTTTGGGAGGGGGGCCCTACTTCTTTGGGAAACACCCCCAAAGCAATTGATACTGGGAGGAAGGCAGGCAGCATGCTGTTTTTTTTTGAGGGGGGAAATTTTAATTTTTTTTTTTTAAGTGATTGTTTAACCTTGAGGTGTCAAATCTGTGTTAAAAACACAGGTTCACCACACAGCACTGTAGACAATCATATTTTCTGTAGAAAGACTGAACTTCAAGCAGGCAAATAGGCTTAATGTTCCACTAAAGATCTTCTACTGAAAAAAAAAAAAGTTTTTCCCTTGTAAACTGACTAGAAAAGACACATGCTTATAAAATTCAGCCAACGGACAAAAATAAATGAAACACAAGGAAGTCTTCAATCTCAAAAGCTCGTCTCTCTCTCTTTCCTCCCCAGAGAATTTGAAGATTATCACAGGATACACCGCTGTCCTCCTCTTGGCTCTCGCCATGACAAAGAACAAGGCGTACCAGGCAGCGGTTGAGCAACCCACCCAAACTGGCATCAATCCACAGTGCCATCCAAGGAAGCACAATAAAGTAGTAGCCAGTAAGTTACAGCGTTTTTTCTTTCACCTCTGCTATAGACTCCCATAGTGGATATGAAGCCAATAGTAACAGGGGATAAACAGGGGGACTCAGGCAGCGACAGTGTAGCAACCAGCCAGCACTGAGGAAGGGGCACTTTCCTATTCCATCTACTGTGTTGAATGGTGCTGTATCCAGGGATGCTCAAGGGAATGTAATACATTAAATAATTTCAGAGACTCTGGCATGATATGGCAATTCTCTGCCATGACAAGCAGTAAACTAGAGTGCACCTCTTCCGTGAAAGGCAGGCTGAGTGCCTTGGAAGATGAGAGGTGAGGTTTCAACTTTGACAAAGAGAAACACAATTAACAAAAACTGCACTTAGTCACCAAACAGAGTGCAAGATATGGAGAATAGATCAAGAAGAAACAATGTCTGCATAGTGGGCATGCCAGAGCAGGTGAAGGGCAAGTATCCAACTGATTTCATAGAGCGCTGGCTCCCCACAATTTTCAGCAAAGACTTCTTCACATCATTATATGTAGTAAAAAAGGCACACAGGATTTCCACTTAACCACTACCTCCAGGTAATCCCCAGAGTCAATTTATTCTAAAAATGGTTAATTTACAAGGATTGAGACATTATCCTATCAAAAGTGTGCACCAAGGAAGATACTGAGTTTACTCAATATAAAATGCACTGCTCAAAAAAAAAATTAAAGGAACACTTTTTAGTCAGAGTATAGCATCAAGTCATTTAAACTCCTAGGATATTGATCTGGTCAGTTGGCAGAGGGGATGACATTTTTTTCCCTACTCATCTTTTCTGGCTGTTTTTCACTAGTTTTGCATTTGGCTAGGGTCAGTGTCACTACTGGTAGCATGAGGCGATACTTGGACCCTACAGAGGTTGCACAGGCAGTTCAACTCCTCCAGGATGGCACATCAATACGTGTCATTGCCAGAAGGTTTGCTGTGTCTCCTAGCACAGTCTCAAGAGCATGGAGGAGATTCCAGGAGACAGGCAGTTAATCTAGGAGAGCTGGAGAGGGCCATAGAATGTCTTTAACCTACCAGCAGGACCGATATCTGCTTCTTTGTGCAAGGATGAGCACTGTCACAGCCCTACAAAATGATCTCCAGCAGACCATGGTGTGACTGTCTCTGACCAAAAGAATCATAAACAGACTTCATGAGGGTGGCCTGAGGGCCCAACGTCCTCTAGTGGGCCCTGTGCTCACTGCCCAGCACCCTAGAGCTTGATTGGTATTTTCCATTGAACGCCAGAATTGTCAGGTCTGCCACTGGCGCCCTGTGCTTTTCACAGATGAGAGTAGGTTCATCCTGAGCACATGTGACAGACGTGAAAGGGTCTGGAGAAGGCATGGAGAACGTTATGCTGCCTGTAACATCGTTCAGCATGACTGTTTTGGTGGTGGGTCAGTGATGGTCTGGGGAGGAATATCCATGGAGGGATGCACAGACCTCTACAGGCTAGACAATGGCACCATGACTGCCATTAGGTATCGGGATGAAATCCTTGGACCCACTGTCAAACCCTACGCTGGTGCAGTGGGTCCTGGGTTCCTCCTGCTGCACGATAATGTCCGGCCTCATGTGGCGAGATTATACAGGCAGTTCCTGGAGTATGAAGGAATTGATACCATTGAATGGCCCTCACGCTTGCCTGATCTAAATCCAATAGAACAGCTCTGGGATATCATGTTTCTGTTCATCTGACGCTGCCAGGTTGCACCTCAGACTGTCCAGGAGCTCAGTGATGCCCTGGTCCAGATCTGGAAGGAAATACACCAGGATACCATCTGTCGTCTCATTAGGAGCATTCCCCGACGTTGTCAAGCATGCATACAAGCACGTGGGGGCCATACAAACTAATAGTAGCATTTTCAGTTGCTGCAATGAAATTCCAGCAAAACAGACTAGCCTGCTGCATCATTTTTTCTTTGAATTCAGTCCTCTGTAGGTTGATAATTTTCATTTCCATCAAACGATGGGGCATCCTTACGTTTCTAACACATTACCCAGTACATATCAGTATAGATATCCAGCATGACATTTTTCCCCATTGAGATTTGATGTGTTTTCCAAGTGTTCCTCTAATTTTTTTTGAGCAGTGTATATTTCTCTCCTGATCACTCGGCAGAAGAGCCAAGACAATGGATGTGACACACTGAAGTTCAAAAGAGACTTTCGCTCCTTCAGCTTTATGCAGCATTATACCCAGCCAAATTTAGGGCTGGTTCACACTACAAATGCAACTTATGCAGCAAAGAATTGAACGACAATAGAAATCACATTATTCTCTATGCTTGTTCACATCAAGACCGCGCAGCACAGTGAATTTTGGGAAAAGGGTGTGGTGCAGGTGCAGCGCAATTCAGCCCTTTACACTTCAATGCAAATGCACCAAAAAACCATGTCCTGTTTATCATTATCCTCAAAACTGAAAGTAAAAGAAAATCCCAAATGTTTGGTTGACATCAGAACAGGTATAGAGGCGAAATATTCCAAAAGGGAAACTAGTTCTGGTGACACACCAGGATTTCCTCACTTGGGGAGATTTCCTTTCACTTCCTGTCCCTTATCTAGACAGAGTGAGAGGAAATCCCTCCAAACAGGACACAGATGACAAAAACCAAAAACAGGGGTTATAACCCTCCTCTACTCTTTCGAAAATGAAAAAAATTCCCTCTAGTGACACTTTAAAGCAGTATTAAATCCAAAAGCATAGTGAAGGGTGTGTGGCTGCATTTGTTTTCCTTTTTTAGCCATTTATTTCTTTATTTTTCACCCAGTGTTCAGACCAGTAGGTATTTTTTTAGCTTCCTTTTAACAGAGCAAGTGGTCCAGCAAAAGTGACAGTTAGGAGGGTTGAGAAAAAACATTCAACATGGACAGGGTGCTTACAATGTTTAGCTACTATTCATTTATATAAAAACTTTATCGCAATAAAAAAAACTGCTGTTGCAACTGCCTAAGGGTCCATTCACACTATGTGCAGAAAACCCATTTGACTGAAGAAGCCAGTAATACTTTCTGAGGGCAAAATTTCTTACTATGTATCATCAGTGTTTTCCTCTTATGCTAGAGGTGTTTGTATATTGATATATTGTCGTGTCCCCTTCTGATGATCTGCAATGCATCCTGGCAAATATATATAACTCCACCATGCTCAGTTGAGGTTTTACAGCTACACTAATCGTTCTCATCCCTTTACTGCGCTCTTTCAAGTTCCGCAACATCTTTTTCGTTAAATGATGCCCCAAACTGACCAGCATATTCAAAATGAAGTCTTACTAATGTTTTGTACAGGGGCTTGCTGCCAAATGTCAGGTAATGTCATTTTTTGCTGTGCCAACGTTCACTAATTTTTTTTTTTAGAGTGAATGATGCTCAAAGAATATTGGGCAGATGTTGAGTGAACTGGCTATCAAATCTTTAATGAACAGACCCAATAGTTTATTCAAAAACAGTTTAAATACACACCTCTGTTTTCATCATCCTCCAAACATTCAATACAATTCGGCACTACATTGATTTCGCTCATTGTGGCTGCGCCATACTCATCCTTGTCTGTAGTAAACCGATTCTCATTTTTGTCTTCTAAAAAAATAAAATAAAATAAGTAATAATATATTGTATCAAATGTTAAAAAAAGAGCATCAAGATAGAAGCAGCCTAGATGAACACAGTAAGAAAGTAGATTCTGAGAAGTTCCCCTATTAGTGTACAGACATACCAGGTATTCTGGAAATCTGCTTGCAAAGATCCACATTGAGGGCTGAGGCCCTCTGCAGAAGATAACCCCAGGAGTGCATTTGAACTTCATATCCTAGAAGAATATCAGGATCATACCTGATGAAGAGAAAACCATGACACCAGAAACAGAAATTAATGTACAGCATTTAAACATACAGCATTCAGATACATGGAGCACTCAGAACGCAAGTTCCAGTTATAATAGAACAAGGAAGAAATAAACCATCCATCGGACTAAAAATCAAGTAGCAAGTTTTCTACAGTAAAACTCTGTATTCTGCCACATTCATTGCTAACCCTACTGCATTATTTGTAAATGTAAAACTAGTAAATCGATAAACAAAAGAACCCCTATCCCCAAACCAGTGATCATACCTGTGCGCAATCAAACCATGTGCTGGAAGACAGTTTTTGGACCGAAACAAAAAATTAAGAAAAAAATAATCCTTTTTGTCCTCGTTTTTCCTCAGCCTTCTCACCTACCCTTTTTACCCTTGTACAAAGTGACAAATATTGTGCATTTATATGCTATTTATCTTAATTTTACTTTGACTCTCCATTTTACAATGTAACATGCTTATATACTGCAAATGACAGAGTATACGTGTGTGTGTATGCAATATTGCAGAGACCTTGTCTTGTCTATTCCTTTGAGTGCATATGCGCAACATAGGTACATGTCTGTCAGCAATGATGTTGCTTCTTTATGACCATTTCACTGCTGATAAAAACTCTTTTGGTAAAAAAAAAAAAAAACAAAAGTATATAGCTTATATATTTTTTTATAATGTAAAGCTCAAATATATGTTTCTACCTATATTATGTCATTTAAATTTTTTTAAGATTTTCCTTCGACTACACTATGTTTTAGGGTGGTGCGAACGAAGTATGCAAAACAAATCCTTCTTGTAACATCTTTAGTGCATTCTCCTGCAAATGGCACCTGCCACAGTAATTGCACTGCATGCAAAAAGGTAGCCTTGGTGTATTAAAACTAATACTGTACAGGAAATATCTACATTAACCGATTAAGGACCGCCCTATAGCAGATATACTGCTACAGAGCGGCACCTGTGTGCGCAAAATCACGTATATATACGGGGGGGGGGGGGGGGGGGCCCTAATCGCACCACCATTCACGGCCGTGGATGTCAATCACTGGGTCCCGGCTGGTAATTACCTGCAGGCGCCCCGTGATTTACTGAGTATCTCTGACGGGGAGGAAGATGGTTTTGTTTACAATCTTCCTGTCAGCTCGAGCACACTGCTCGGGATGGTTGTGCACAGTACAGCCATCCCGATCAGTGTGCTTACAGTGAAGAACACACCCCCCCCCTAGTAAAACACTCCCAGTACAAGGTTAACCCTTTGATCGCCCCTCATATTAACCCCTTCCTGCCCAGTGCCATTTGTACAGTGTCAGTGCTTTTTTTTTTTTTTTTTTAGCAGTGATCACTGTATTGGTGTCACTGGGGTGTCAGTAACACCAAGTTATTTTGCCCCCGTATCAGAATGTCCACCGCAGTCCCGCTAAAAGTCGCTGATTGCCGCCATTACTAGTAGGAAAAAAAAATCCCATTATCTATACTGCCATTTGTAAACGCTATAACTTTCACATAAACCAATTAATTTACACGTATTGGGTTTTTTTTTTTTAGTAAAAACATGTAGCAGAATACATTTTGGCCTACATTTATGATGAAATTAGATTTTTTTTGTTTTTTTTTTACTGGACATGTTTAATAGCAAAAAATCCAAAATATTGTTTTTTTTTTCTCAAAATTGTCAGTCTTTTTTTTGCTTATAGCGCAAAAAATAAAAAAAACCGCACAGGCGATCAAATACCACCGAAAAAAAGCTCAATTCGTGGGGAAAAAAAAAGGACATCACTTTAATTTGGGTGCAGCGTTGCATGACCGTGCAATTGTCAGTTAAAGCAACGCAGAGCCATAACACAAAAAATGGCCTGGTCACGAAGGGAGGTAAATCCTCAGGCGGGCAAGTGGTTAATAAACGTATGTAATCTTTGTCAAACAATGTGTGTTTTTTTCCCTTAATATAGTAAAACAGAACTTACCTTCTGATCAAGTTTAAAAGTTTTTGAAACAAATCCTTTTCATCAGAAGCATATGTGATCTGGAAGCCCGTGATGCCAGATCTGGTGAATAATGGGGCCTGGCTTCTGCGACCTAGACAAAGTGACAGAAAAAGTATTTATGATACAAATGGCTTGTATGTTACCATAGTAAGTGTTTACTCCTTTAAAGCAAGATTTCAGCCTATTTAAAAATCAAAATTCTGCACCTTCACTGGCAGTAGAGTCTTGGCTGATAACGATTGCACCAGTAGTCCGTGTTTTGTCACTTTGGGGCAAAGGAGAGTCAGAAGATAGACAGTAAAACAAAGCGCAGATTGGGTCAAATTCAGGATCTGGTTCCAAGTCTCGTCGAGTTCTTGCATGAAGCTCCATGCCCATAAGAGTCAGGTGCTGAACCTGTATCATAAACCAGAAACCTTATAATGCCTGTTATACTCAGAAATTGGTAAAATACACATTCTGCCACTCCAGACAAGTAAAATCAATCAGTAAACTATCAATGCTATCCAGTAAATGCAACAGCTTTGCTAACGTATGCTCCCTTTTGGTCCAATAAAAATGCCATTGAAAAGTGTTTTCCTATGTTGGTTTGAAAATGCTTATTGACGAAGTCAAAAATTCAGGGCTGTCCTGTGTACATGCCTTGTGTTATCTCAAACTTCACCTTCCCAGTTCTGATCTTGGACTACAGAATAATTATGCTATGTTGTGTGGGCGAGAGGGGAGGGATTCAGTAGTTTAGCAAAGGCAACTGGGTAGGGCTGACACAATTTCTTGTTATTTCAGTTCAAAAAGTTCTGTATGTCAGTCCACAATAGTAAATTAAGAGCAAGTGCATTTCTAGCAGATCTGCGGGGATTTTTTTGTACTTATTTATTTCAGGTACTTACATAGCACCGTCAATTTATGCAGTGCTTTACACATATATTGTACATTCACATCAGTCCCTAACCCTCAAGGGGTGTACAATCTAAGGTCCCTAACTCACATTCATACATACACATACTAGGGACAATTTAGACAGGAACCAATTCACCTACCAGCATGTCTTTTGGAGTGTGGGAGGAAACCCACGCAGGCACAGCGAGAGCATGCAAACTCCAGGCAGGTGGTGCCGTGGCTGGGATTTGAACCAACAGCCCTTGTACTGCCAGGCGGAAGTGCTAACCATTTAGCTACTGTGCTGCCCGACACTTGAAGGGTCTTTAAAAGGAAAAAACAAAGGCAAACGTGCATGCATTGCAGAAATGTACTACTTATGTTTTTAATATATTTTGCCCCGATGTGTGCTTTAAACAGAATAAAAGGGTTTTATAAATATCTGTTCGATAAGTGCCCATATTTGTTGATCCTGCCAGAAAACCTGTGATGAATTCCTTTGCTGACAAACTAGTTTGCATTGCTCCAAGCTCTGTGTGGACTACAGAACACTTTTGCTCTAACATATGAAGAGCAGGAGAGGCAAAGGTGTTCCATAAGTTCAAACATGCTTCCTGTCCTAGGGTGACAACGCTGCTCCTCCACATACAAAGCCTAGAATAGGGAGCGTGTTACTAGCACAAATACCAGGTGAAAAGAAAAAGAAAAGAAAAAATAACCCACTACAACAGGCATCACATCTTAGGTCTGGAAAACTGCAATATATAAAATTGTGGGGGTAGTTTAGATGCACAATACATAAAGTAGCTAGGTTCTGGAAGGCAATATATACCTGTTTCTGGGTAGGCCACCCTTCTTATCAAGATTATGTGCTGTACAAATTCCACTATTTCTCTCACTCTGTTAGCCATTGTACAGATTTGCTTTCAATGGGAAATACTTTATGAACATGATTTTTAGTTATAGCATAATGGCAATGTCACCTGATGCTTTTTAATAGGTCTCAAAACAATACGCCTCTTATATAGTTTCCACTCACTTTGGATTCTTACTCATCTATGTAGAACATTAGAGTCCCTACACTCCCTTTATGTAACTGAAACATAACTGAAATCCACAACAGATATAAGAAATCATACTGGAAAAATTCTGAGTTACCCTTTCCTCCTCTTATTCAGACAAGGAAACAAGTGTTAAATGGGTGTGCACTGCTTTTGCTACTGAGTCAAATAACAGACTACACTGCAAGAAAAAAAACAGATGTGTCTCCATTCCCTCATTCTCATTAAAACGATCAAAAATTGAAGGGAAAAAAATGGGGAAGAGGTTGCAAATGGACTTTAGAGGCACAGAAATTCCAAAAAACATATTAGTAAAATTATTTGTACTTTATTATGACAATAAGTCATGGAAAAACATCTTGCAGTTTAAAAGATCATAGTGATACTGTCCCCGCAGACAATGTCCCACAGCCCACCATATACAAGGAACACCTTAATGATGACATAATAACCACCAGATGAATCCTATGGGGGGGGAATGGGAGAGGTGGAGGACATTAAGCTGCAGGAAATTGGCCCGACATGTTTCGCGACAATGATTGCTTCTTTAGGGGCTTAGTAGTAATATCAATTATCATATCATATCAATATCAATATGCACCATGCAGCAGCAGAACCCTCCGTGTGCAAGGGGTAGGCCCCCTCTGTATATTCCACAAGACAAGAGGCCGCTCAAAAGGCCAGATACGGGGGCACAAAAATGGCTGACAGTCCAAAACCTCAATGGTATTTAATAGAAGTATTTGTATCACAAATCAAGTCTTTCCACAGGAAAAAGGTCCTGTCCTTCCACGAAGCAACAATTGCCAAGGAAAAGGGAGGGGAAGATACCCTCAAACATTCAAAAGCAGCTAAAAGAAGAGGACTCTCAGTCACGATAGTGTGACAAGATAGTACACCTGGGCCAGCTTGTCAAATACTTGGGGGTATCAAGAACATAGGCCCAGACTTACATTGGAAGGCAGGTAAAAAAATATTAATATTAGGCTCAGTTTTATCCGGCGAGGAGACGACCACAACCACAGAGGGCACGGAAAAAGGTTTGCGCCACAAGGCTCATAAATCTGATAACCTGCAGGGCTTCACCGCCCTGAAGGCCATTCTTTACTATCACTATGATCTTTTAAACTGCAAGATGTTTTTCCATGACTTATTGTCATAATAAAGTACAAATGATTTTACTAAAATGTGTTTGGAAGTTCTGTGCCTCTAAAGTCCATTTGCAACCTCTTCCCTGTTTTTTCCCTTCAGTTGCTGACTATTAAAATTAGGACGCAGCACTAAAATTTTACCCAATTTTTTGGAAGTGATCTGGCACCTGGATACACTCCAATTTCTTCCTTTAGTCTATTCTAATTAAAACAACTGCACATCTATTATCAATCTTAAACTTCTTCACATACCCAGGGAGGTAGTTCCACTTCACATACCCAGGGAGGTAGTTCCATAACAAAAACTCCCACAGAAAAGCTGACATTTGTTTCATGTATGAACCCCTTAGCAGAGCTCAGTAGTAGTAAAGATTTGACTGCTGGTGCCATGGACATTTCTCTATACATCAACCCATCTCAGCAGGTTGATCTCTGATAAGGGCTGAGCTGTCAAACAACCTGTAGCTGTTCTGTGTATTGAACCTGCAGACTGCCAGACATCCTTCCTCAGTAAGTGAAAAGAGATTAAGCCTCGCTCACACAATGCGATTTGTCAAGTGATTTGACTGTTCAAAATTGTATGACAAAGTCTCACCATATTTGTGCCTATGGAACCATTAAAATCGGTGCAACTCCAACTTGCAGATGCTGAAAAAAGGTCCTGCACTATTTTTTCCGATTGCATGTGCAACTTGCACAGATGTGTACAAGGTGCACATGAAATCGCACTGACCGGTGTCTTTCAGATGAAGCAGTGTGATTTCAAAGCTGCATTCTGTACTTGCCTGATTACATTTTTATAATTCTCTCAAGCTACCTGAACGCTATAAATTAATTTTATGCCTGTATTAAATTTAGACTATTCCTTCTACTCATTTAACTTACAGCTATAAAAGCTATATATTTTTTCCGAATATACAGTGCAACATCTCAAAGTACACAATATCTCATGTACACAATACCTCATGTAAGGCCTTTGCATCTTGAAGATTGTGAGAACTGACTTTGAAACCATAGGAGTTATTCAGGGAAGGGCCCTCAATCTGAGACGTTTCCTTCTTCACATGACCCAAAGCAGCAAACTGATTCTATGTACAACAAAAAACAGGAGAGATGTCACAGGAAACAATACATGACCACTGCTCACCCCTGTAAATGTTCATGCTGATTTTCCCAGGAGTTGATATACAGCAAAAGCTAAAACTTTGTGGGAAATATAAATGTTTCTATTATACCTTTAAAGAGACACAATTTGCTAAACATTTTAACAAAGCCAGCAGACCTTCACAAATTTCCTTCAGTCACCTTGGCCAATCTATCAATGTTTGTGGATTTAAAATAATGGGAGTTTGTATTCCTGCAGCCAGTCAGGCCCTCCACCTATTAGGTACCTATATCTTTGGAAAATAATTGCCTCTAAAGAAATCATGTCACTTCTGCCTCATACACTTGTTACTAATGAAGCAAAGTGCTGGGATTCATTGACTGTACCACTACTCTGCTACCCTGCCTTGACCCTAAGCAGAGTAACAAGGTGCTCTAGTACTAACCTGTAGAGGCCAAAAGTTACAATATGTACCCTCTAGCGTGTGCTGAGAAAGTTGGCACCAAACTGTTTGTGCATCATGATAATGCACTGCCCTAGTTCTACCACCATAGCACTAGCAGAGTAGCCATAGTGTGTTTAACCAGTTGCCACCCAGCCTATGGCCAAATGGCGGCCGGGTGAACTCTTTGTCCCTTGTCCCTCCGGGAGGACGCCATATGGCATCCTTCCCGGAACGTGCATTGTGCATGCCTGCAGGGCTGCAGTGCGGCGTCATCTGTTACCAGCCGTGTACCTTGGACATGGCCAATGACAGATTTGTGTACCGACCCCATTGCCAGTACCATGTGACCTGCTGTGACCAATCACAGCAAGTCACATGACAGTTGTATACAATGAATGGCTTCCTTAAATGCCATCCATTGTATACAAGTGTGTCTAGCTGTGAATGGTCACAGCGATCACATGCACAGGCTGGGCCAATCACAGCCCACCTGTGTCATGTGATTAGCTGTGGCCAATTGAAGTGTTTAAAGATTATGTTTAAGTCCACTGATAACATTTGATAAAAATTGAGGTACAAACAATGGCCTATTTCCACTAAATAGTATGAAAACTGCAGTCAATGAATACCTTCATTTGAGTGGTTAGTAGTACTCTCCGCAGTTTATCAGGGTTTGTTCCTCTTCTCTGACTCATCTTCTGAGAACGTGCTTCTGAAATGAAAAAAATATTAAAGAGAGTGGCAGAGTACATTGTATATTATGTATTATGTAGTGTTCTTAAAAGTTATTTCCATACTATATGCCTATATACAAAGGCGGAGAGCTTGCTGAACACTTTTGATTGGTGCCAAGAACAGCAAGGCTGTACAGAGCCAAGACACTCCACAACAAAACTTAAGTTTGAGATCTGTTTTCCAGTTTGCATACACTGTTTCTGTGTAATTAAAGTAGTTTTGAACCTCAGACATGAAATATGAACAAAGCATATCCCTGTATAGTGTGTGCTTGTCTCAATCCAGAGCACTAAGTATCATTTCTGTCCGCTGCCCCGTTCTTCTGCTATCAGCAGTCACTTCTGATGAGTTTTCCTGACACCAAGAGAAAAATGGTGACAGGGGAGGGCACAGCCTGTGACCGATAGGCCCAGCTCTGTTCTTGTGTGAAAGGGGGGGGGGGGCTTCCTTCCAATCAGCAATCAGAGCTCTCCTCACTGATGTAACTTCAGATCCCTGCTCCCTGGTTTTCAGAGCTGACAGATCCTGTGTAAATTCTGCACTTTGAATTGATGTAGGGGACAGACGGCTGTAGATAATCAAGTAAAACTGATGTTTCATCTCTGTGTGTCACCTGAGGTCAGTCACTTCTCTGGGTATATGTAAGGGTTTACAACCACTTTAACGTTGACATTGATTCCTGATGATACCATCCTGGCTAAGCATAGCTCAATAAAGATTGTAATACAGCTACTAGATCTGCATCCAGTAATGTGCCCAAGGTCTTCGTGTAGTTTTTCACCAAGTATTTTGAGCACAGTGTGACATTTCAGCATGCACTCAAGTGGCACTCTATCATAAGTCCTGTTACTCTTCCACCAGCTGCTATATAATAGATCATGCAGGGGGCTGATAGTGCAGTATAGGCACTTGACCAACACAGACCTTAATCGGACACTCCCAGAAGTGAAGAGGGCTATGACAAGCAAGGAGGGAGGGGATTATTCTAGGGAATTTCCTAGTCAAATTCAAAGGCACATTGCAAGTCAATAAGTACTTGATTTTTATGTGCTGCTACCTGCAGTTAGAAAAAAAAACAAAAACCACAAAGTTTTACCATTCAATAAAACCAATTCATGAAGTATAAATATAAATGCTGCAACTACCTCTATATGATGAGAGATCTTCATTATGAAGCTATGGCTTTCATTCAAAGTGGCCCTTCACTTACTTTTTTTTTTCTCCCTGGGAGAGGGTTCATTTTTCCTAACATATACCCACTGCCACTTCAGCAATTCTCAACTAGGTGACAATTGCATCAGCTTGAACCCCCCACCCCATCATCAACCTCCAGGGGCACATTATATGTCTCAGGAGGGTGTGGGACCAGTCTGACCGTGCCACGCAATCTCAGTGAGGAGCTGGCTGAGAAATAGCAGAAAGTCACAGCCAGCTACCACATCTAAGATGGCAGTGCTGAGAATCCAAAGAAAGGTGCAGGATCGACACAGGTGAACACAGCACTGGACTCCTGGACTGGTAAGTGTGTTTCTTAAAAGACAGTAGCTACAGTATTTGCTGATTATTTTTAATTTTTAAAAAAACATAGAATAGCACCCAACAAACACTTGGTGCGAAGTGCCTTATATACAAATAATTCAAGGCAAGCATTTCACATACCTACTGCTTCTCTATATTGCAGAGAAAGCAGTCTTCCACAGCTTAGTCAATAGTCACACAGGGAATATGTTCAATAAACAAATCTATAGCTACATACCGATGGTCACAGGAGTAAGTGGTATCACATCAGGAGATGCAATCCTTCTTTCTGTTACTGGTGTACTGTGAAGACATGCATGTTTAGATTTGTGCTTCTTTTGTTTAAAGGGAGGAGGAGATGGGGTTGATAATGCTTGGATTTCACTTTTTACAGTTTTCAGACTCTTTTTACTGTCTTCTCGCCCACATTCTTCAGTTGGGGAGGATGGATTATAATTATCTGCACAGTTGTCATCAGTTCTAGGAGACTGCTTATGATCAAAATTCTGCCAAGGTGTCATTGTTGAGGAATTAGGTGAAATACATCCATCATTTTCATTAGTCCTTTCGGTGGATTCAATTTCATCTTCAACAGTCACATCAATTCCCCCTTCTACGTCCTCCCCATCAGAACCATGAAGAGAAGGCGGCGGGCTAGCTATATGAATCTTTAAATTTTCTTCATTAACAGGTTGATCTTCCAAACTAGCAGGCTGTGCCAATAAAATATTAATTTCCTTTGGAGGCAAGCTGTTACAACCACTAGGTACTACAGTTATCGTCGTATTCTTATTGTCATTTGTAACTTGAGTTAATGGAGCAGTGTCTGATGTCTTAGAAGACTCATAAAGCTCTTTGGCCTGAAGCCACAGCTGGACTTTCTGAGGAGGAGGAGCACTCTTGCAAGGCATGACCACCAACTTTTTATCATCACCAGGATTTATCTCGTTAGTCGCTTGCTCAGTGACTTGTCTATTCATTTGACCAGGAGATATTGGCTTAGGGTTTTGTGTCATTGCAGAGAAAGCAGTCTTCCACAGCTTCAGACCTTCCATTGAAAAGTCTCCTTCAAACTCAGAAAGATTGTGTGCTAGTTTTGTCTCGACAGTTAACGTTTTTCCTCCCACCTCTCTATGCAAAAAAAGCAAGCAAAATGATGTTTGTTATAAATACTGTGAAATAAAGTTCTAAAAACATGTAAGTGTTTTGTACAAAAGACTCCAAAACTTGTGTACTGTAATATGGCCTTCACATAAAGCTCAGCTTATAAAACTATACTGTTGCAATATGGTCTCAACATGATAAACTACAATTTTATACAACTGCTGTGAAATGACCAGTTGTTCTTCTTTGTAGTGTTTGGTACGTATCGATGACAGGCCTACTCTTACCCAAAGTGTAGTCCATTTTTGAGTCGATATGTATTTCTGATTACAAGGAGCAATATCCAAATGATGTAGCCTGCACACCAATAGTGGTGCTTGCACAGATTAGAATAGTAATGACTAGAAGCAACTTTAGTCTTGTATATTACAGCACTTTGCACATTTTTAGGTAAACTCGTATATTGTCAAGAAAATGATAGAAACACAACATTCTAATTGCTATTCATTTGCAGGGGCAGACTGACCATTCGGGCACTGCCTGAGTGCCCGGGGCTAGTAGGGGTCACCATGAGAGGCTCCTGGTACCACCTGTTGGGGGGAATTTACGAGGGAGAGGAGGAGAAACGGCTTCCAGCTGCATCTTGGAAAGCCATACAGGGTTATCGGTACCCGTAATTGCCCCCCACTCTAGTTGGACCGATCATCCCTGACTGTCCATGGGATTTCCCCTACTGCCCGCCTCTAATGTGTGCTCCCCCGCAGGACTGCAGGCTTCCTTCCTCTCCTGCCAGCTGCTGGCGGATGTGTCAGGATGGAGAGCGGAGGAAGGGGCAGATCACTGACTCTGTTCATTTATAACTATAGCATAGCAAACAGTGTTAACCATGCTTCAGTTTGCGAATGAACAAGAGCTGTCTCCTGTTCATTCATCTTCAGTGCAACTGAGGATTCAGGGAAAGACTGGGAAATGTTTCCTCAGTCCTTTTATCTGTCTCAAAAGTGAGACTTCAGGCGACTGTTTAGACCCATGATATTTCACCAAAGCCCCCAAGCAGGGCTGTTAAAAAATTGTAATAAAAAAAGTAACTTGTAAAAAATGATAAAAAAATACAGTAGTAAAAAAGAATAAAAATTAAAATAATAATAATAACAAAAAAACACTGACACCGTCCACTGCTCCCATAAAAAGAATTGTAAAAAAAATATAATTAAATGGTAAAAATAAAAAAACAAACAACACCATCCACTGCCCATACACCCCCCCAAAGTATTGTAAAAAAATAAATATATAGGAAAAAAAAAATTACCTTGTAGAAAAGAATTTAAAACACTACCGACACTATGCACTGACACCCCCCCCCCCTCAAAGTATTGTGAAAAAAAAAAATAAAAATTTTAAAGAAAATAAATGATAAAAATTAAAAAAAAAAAAAAAAAAAAAAAAAAAAAAAAACTACTTACTCTTTGCTGCTCTGCCACCTCCCAAAAAAGAGCATGGTGGAAAAAAAAAAAAGGGGTAAAAAATTTCAACAATAAAAAATAAAAACAAATTAAGGGTTAGTTCACACAGGTTTTCCTTGTACATACAGTGTGAATGAGTGGCTTGTGCCCCGTTACTCTATGGCAGTGTTTCTGAACTCCAGTCCTCATGGACCCCCAACAGGTCATGTTTTCAGGATTTCCATTATTTTGCACAGGTGATTTGATCAGTTTCACTGCCTTAGTAATTACCACAGCTGTTTCATCTGAGGGAAATCCTGAAAACATGACCTGTTGGGGGTCCATGAGGACTGGAGTTGAGAAAACACTGCTCTATGGGGACACAGTAGTTGTACGAACAGCTGCAAGTCCTAATTTTACGGTATGGGTAATTGGCCCGTAAATCTGTGTTTGGGGACCAAACATGTGCATCCACATGCCTGAAATAAGAACATATCATAGCTGCACCTTTAATATACGTTTACTTTTCTTTATTTTCTTAACTTATTAAACATTTACTTTGAACATAGGTGTAGAGAAATTCTGTGCTGAATGTAAGTAATGCGGGCAGCGCAATATGTAGGTGGGGCTTTGAGTGGGTGTGGCCAGGGACACGGGGGGGGGGGCCTCATGAGTTGTCAGTCCGCCCCTGCTCATTTACGTGTATTGCTAGTAATAAAAATTATGCCCCAAATATTAGCAGCAGTGCTGTGCCTAAGTTAGTTAGATATAAAGTCTAACGGTTGATACAGAATCCAAAAAAAAAAAAAAGTTAAAAAAAAAAAAGACCCCTCATCATTGGTATCACCAAAGTGGCATAATAAAGAATCCGCATAGAACACAAATTGCAACCTATGGAAAGCCAGCTGACAAAAGTCTATCCTTGTATACACATTAATGCCCCCCAATATTGGCTCATCATTGAGACAGGACCATTTTCTCAGTTGAAATATGATGCAACCATGCAGCAATTTACTTGTAATTTAATATCTTTAGCTACACACTTACCTTGGCTTCTCTGGTGCATCAGAAGGATTGCTGAAAAATGGTTCTTGGTATACTGTTTCCATGAGATCATGGTCCAGAAGAGTTGCCATTATTTCTTCACGGCTAGGTGGTGACATTAAAGGTTTTAAAATATGAACTGGCCGAGGCGTGGCGCTTCCATTTTTGGACTGAGAGGGTGAGCAAATAGATCTCGGTGAACTATAAGGAGTTGCAATTAGTCCATCACTGTGTCTTGAAATAAACAATTCTAAGTCTCCATCAATAAAATCATTTTCAGGAGAGGAAGCAAGTCCAATAAAGGAAGAATTAGAGTTAGGGTGACTGCAGGTATCAGACGCTGACTCTTTATTTTGAGTATGCATTTCTGAATGAACCCATTCAGACCGAGGTGCAATGAATGAGGCCTCTTTCAGGAGTCCTGGTTTACTTTTTTTAGGTTTCTTACTATCGGACGTTTCTGACTGCTGGGTAAATGCTGTTGAAGATGCACTGTGAAATTTCTGGGTAAGAAATCCATTCTTCCAATGGCTAAAGGGGGTACTCATTTTTATATCTACAGAAGATTTTTCAAACATATCTGGACTAAGAGAGCTAGGTCTGATTAACACTTTCCGGTCCAACGATCTAACATTTTTCTCAGTTTCTTGGTTTTCCTGTTTAACACAGTCTTGATCTATAGCTTGGCAGGGTACAGGGTCACTCAGAAACTTTTGCGGCAAATGCTGGTCTGCTGAAATAAACTGACTGCCTGTATATGAACTGCAAAGCCCTACAGAATTGATATCAAAGTAGGCATGCTCAGGAGATAAACTGTCCTCAAGAGAGTAGCAGCTTTCAAAATCCGTCTCAGAAAAGATTCCTGGGCTGCCATCAGAAATTGAGCTTTTCAATTGCTGGTCACTCTGATATTTAACCAAGTCCATTTTCAAATTCTTCGCTGCTTTCGGTTTTGTGCTTCGTGGGGTCCTTGGCTTTTTGTTAGGTGTTGCAGATTTCATATTTGCGCACTTTGGTTCTGTTTGATTAGACTGAATGCTTTTAGGTTTAATATGGGATCCTTCTGTGGTTACTTTCTGTTGCTTTTTGTGGAGTAATTCCTTTAAAACAGCAATGCCAGACTGTACATCCAAAATTCCTTGAGAAGAACCCGCCTTGGTAGAATTCTGTAGTGTTTTAGTTCCAGAGAAAATATTCGGTAAAAAATTCTGGCTCAGCTTCTGAGAAGTAAATTCTGTTCCATCAAACAATTCTCCTTTCTCTTTCCAAGAAGGAATTTTTATGGGACTTTTTAATGATGTCACTAAAGAACTTTTTGAAAATTGACTTTCTGAGGAACTTGAATCACTATGTTTAGTTGAGTCTTGTAAACCTGTTAGCTGTTGCTGGCTATTCATTGTGCAAGGTAAAAGCTTTGACTGCAACTTCTCAAAAGGCATCGTGTCTGGAACATTTTGGGTGTCCCGCAATTTCCCCACAGATGCTAAAAGCCTTTTCTGCACTTCTGTGGGATCTTCTTGAACGAAAGGAGAACAATTCAGAATAAATTGTGGACTCTGTATTACCTGAGATGTGCGACTAAACGATTTTGGAATTGCATTTTGAGCTGCATTTGACTCCTTTACTTGAAATACATTAGAAAACTGTGAACCCATTGTACTTATCTTGAATGGCTCTGTGTTTGCATTTGGCGGCAGAGGCACAGGTATAGACTTGGACTCCTTTTGAACAGCAGAATTCTGAGAAAGAGCAGACATAGATGGGCAACTGAGCAAGGGTTTGTTGTCAGGTGAGTCTTCCTGTGTGATGCAGGATGACAACTGTGTTGAATGAACATGTCCGGTAGAAAATCCAGACAGTGAAATATCTGAAGGCTGGGAGGAATAGTTTGATTTGTCATCTTCATCTGTAGGAGTTGCTGGTTGCTCTTGTATTGGAGGCACTAAATCCATTGTTTCACAACTTCCTTTTTTGTCCCAGTCTTTAATTTTTGTGTGTTTTCTTGGAGCTTTTTCACTTTTTTTTTGCCTAGGTTTCCCCATTGGTCTTTTTCCATCTTTGCCCAACTCATTCTGGTTGATTTTGTTACCTTGTTTGGCTGCTTGAGGGCTTATTGCTAGTTTTTTTCTAGACTTGGTAGTTTGGGTTTTACGTGGTCTTTTTTTAGAAGAAGCATTTTCTTTCTTACCACTACTTAAGGGATACGTTTAAAGAGAGGAGTCTCTTCAACCTGATTTGCTATAATTTCTTCAGCTCTTGGATCTGAAGGTGACCAACAACGTGGAGGAGACATATTTATTGGGCTAGGACTTCGTTCTGTAAGAAAGCCAAGTTTTGACATGACATCCTTGTATTCTGTATCACAATCCTTTGCTTCATCGATATAGGATGGCATTGGGGGCATAAGGAAAGTATGACACCTTTTTCTCCTCAGAGGTAGGGATTGCTTAAGAACTTTTCTCTCACTCTTTGGAACTTTCCCAGTCTTCTTTTTGCCAGATTTTGGCTTAGTTTTCCTTTTACTGTTTTTCTTTGGTGTGACTGGATATAATGGGTATTTGGTTGCAGGAGAGTCTGGCACTTTTGGCCAGAAATCTTTTAAAGGTGCCATTGTACCATAGAATTTTATTTTCTCATCTGTTAGTGTTACTTGCTGTTCACTGGGATCTATTTTTTGTAATTTAACTTTCATATTTTTCCTGCCTTTGAACCGGTTGATAATGATATATTTTATAATAACTGGTGGTAATTTAGAAACCTTTCTGCGTTTGCGTGATTTTTGAGACGTTACCACATATTCATTGGCTTCGGTGGGTTGAGGTAGATTAGCTTTTGAGCCATTTGCTGCCAAGTTTGAATCACCATCTTCACTTTCAAAATTGACTTTCCGTTTTGTTCTTAAAGTGTATTTATTACCATAAAGTGCTAAAGATGGGTCTGAATCTGCATTCTCCTCCTCAAATGGACATTCATAGCTACTCACTTCACATGCGTTTCCTTGAAGTGCACCACCATCCATTATGACAGCCATGTCACATGATGGTACCCTGTCAACATCAGGGGGACTTTTGCTACAAGCATTACCTGGGGCATAACTGCTGTCTTTAACCAAATCTATGTTACTTGCATTTGTAGTGCTCTGAGAATCTAAGCAGTCCACTTTTTCATTTTTAACCGTATGTTGTTCTAGACTGATATCGATTTGTCTGTCTGTCATGTCCTATACATTCTTGGTGGTCCCCTTCCCTCTTTATATCTGCTGATTCTTTACTTACTGTAGCCTTTAATTTCTTAGCAAGCTTTAGCCGTGAATGCTTTTTAGGCTGTTTAAGCACGCAAGCCATTGGTGTAGCTTTCTGCGGTCGGTTCAAACAGTTAGACAGGACAACGCTGGGAAAAAACTTGTAATGGGTCACCGGCTGGTTAATACTGGTAACTTCTGCTTTGTGTTCTTGAAATTCTTCATATCGTATCTTCATTTTATTAAGGCTTCCTTCATTAAAATCATTATCCACAGGGTGAACAGTGATTCTACTACCATCAACACAAGGATTCCGGTCACCACAATTTTCATTTAAGGCTGCATGAATTATGTTGTTTGGGGCAATGTTACATTTGTCACTTGTGTCTGCAGTCCTTTTAGCTTTGCTGTTGCTTAACTCTGTAAAACTTCGTGGGGTTCTATCTAATGTTCCATCAGTGCTGTGCCGGTTCGTGTGCAAGAAAGAAGCATCTTTATCTTTTCTAATGCTGGTGAATTTCCTGCACTGCAGATGTCTATTCATCGAGGAGATGCCATCCTCATAGACATTCTTCTCACTGGCTGCAATAGAGACAATTTCATTGATGTCTCCCTCTTTATGAAAAATTTCTGAATGAGCTGTATTGTTAAAAGGTGCTGGATATTTCAGACCGTAAGTGCTATCATTTGTTAATGAATGGACAGAAAGTTCAGCTCCCTTTTCCACAGGTGACTGGGTAAGCTCTTCTATTAAACCCTCTTTTTTCAGTACATGATTAGATGAAAGGGCACTTGTTTGCTGACACTGGAATGCAGTTTTGGCAGAAGACTGTGGTTCCAATGAAGCAGCATCTTTGTGAAAGATGGAGGGTTTAATTGACAACTTGCTCTTTGCAATGACAGAAGTGTGGGTTAGAGTGCTTTCATTATTCAACGCGTTGTCTAAATTGAAATGAAAACAGAATTGTTTAGACAGATAAAACCACTATATACAGGTTAAACTGCAAATCAATATTTTCTACACAACATCAACACTAAAGTTTATCCTGATAGTCAGAAATTTAGAGAAAAATTAGGAATTTTGACACACCTGTAAATTCCATATCTTGGAATACAGTACATGGGAATCGATTCATAAATCACGTTATATTTTATATAATTGGACACCGACTGCGTCCACCCCCAGTGTATCTATATACCTTGCGCACTCTGTGAAACCCCTTTTTTTTTTTAGCAAACAATAAGGAGATCACAAAGGAGGAGGGACCGGTCTCTTGTACTGTACCACAAGATATGGAATTTACATGCATGTCAAAATTCCTAATATCTTTATCGTACAGTACAGGGAAACAGGAATCAATACATAGACTATGGGACATCCCCAGGTAATAAGCTGAGGGGTTGGCAACAAACCAGCACAAATGGCAGCAACACAGCCATATATAAGCACAAGAAGGATCAATGGATCCAAACAGTTAACAGCTGAAGCACTTTGCATGCAAAGCAAGCAGCAGTGGAGAGTCAAGCAGCCACCAGGCAGATAAAAGGGTTTGGAAGGTAACCTGAACAAAAGATCACTTTATGACTCTGCACAAGTGAAAATGACTGATGCTAGATGCTGTATAGACCCAAGAACACCATAGGCTCATGCAGGGAAGAGAAGACTCAATCCCAGAGGGCATAAGCCCTACAAAATGGGGCAAGAAGTAATAGGAATCTAAGGAAGGACCACCCTGCAAAGAAGTGAAGGGAAGAGGGGTCAGGCCCCCAGGGAACATGCTGCAAATAGCTGTAGATGCAATGCTTGACCCCTTCCTCAACTGAAAATTACATGTTGTGCAGGCCAACAGGACATGGGAGGGAAGAACTGAAATTTCCTTAAAGGTAACAAGGGCACCAGGGAATAAAAAAAGAAAGGCAGGGCTCTGCTTGTCACGAAGCCCTGTACAAACTCCAGAGGGACGTGTAAGGTCGTAGCAGGCAATAAAAGAGAACCACCTCAAGCAGGAAATGCACAGGAAGTGCAAGGGCTAAGGAAATAGAAAGAATAAAACAAGGACCAACAGGGTACAGAATCCTATGCTGTGAGCAGTGCCGGACAGACGTATGTTACATAGTTAGTCTGGCTGAAAAAAGACAAAAGTCCATCCAGTATGTGCAGTATGAGGAACCAGAACAAAGTTCAGAATGAGGTTTCCTATAAGCAAACTAGAAAAAACAGTTTTACAAAAACACTGCAGCACAGGGGAAAAGAAATCTAAATGCCCAAGGAAAAAACAAAAAAGACAAAAAGAGGCATCTAACTCAGATGTTGGAATATGCCTAACTGGAATTAGGGATATTAGGCAAATGCTGTGCAAGTCTGCAGAGCATTTGTAATCTATAAATGAGTGTTGAGAAAAGCAGGCAAGTGTAGAAGCCTCTATCGGCTGCATGTGGAGAGGAAAACAAAACACCTAAAGGAAGCCCTGGGAAAAGGGGGCATTGTTACCCTTCCCAATACTGAGACAGTGAAAGAAGTGCAAAGGTACCAAAGTTAAGGCTGAAAGGCCAAGGAGGAATGTGTTAGAGTAGGAAGGAGGCGCCTGGGCTCTAAGTTGTGGAACTAACCTCACCAAGTAGAGGGGAGGAAGATCAAGTGACTTCAGTGTAAAAAGCCACACTCAGGCTATTTCAAGGGGACAACCAGCACAACTTGTGACTTAGTCTCATTAGGGGCAGCTAATGAGTATTCCTGAGCATACGACTAGATATAAACAAGGATGTCATGCTGAAGGAGGATGTCAAGAATAGGCCTGGATAGTCTGACAATAAAAGGTGAGGAGAAAAAGTCTGTAAGGCTCTGTGTCTTAGTTGCCAGGGAGTATTGTGAGCAACAGCAATCAGGCAAATTATGAATAATTCAGGCTATGTACTGGTTGTAGCAAGTCTTTAAGGCAGCCTGGGAAGTGAAGTGAAATAGGGCCCAATAAACTAGCACCAAAACATGCTAAACAGAAAAAATCATTACTGTTTGTAATGTAAAAATTACATGTACCCATGAATAGAAGGGGAGTATAACCAGGTATGCTGTGTTTGCTATAAGTGGAGAAAATCTCTTACATGAGCCTTACTATGAAAGACAAATGCAAGCTTCTTGCTATGGGGCATACCTGCGGGGTCACTCCCGAGCCGTGCTGCCCGTGTTCATGGCCCTGTCAAACCCACCCCTCCTTCTCACACAAGTTCCTGTTGAAAGAGAGGGTAGAGAAGACTGCAGCCGGGGGGGGGGGGGGGGGGGGGGGGGGGGGTTATCAATAGTGGCTTTTAGAATAACTTTCATTTCTCCAACCCAGTCCAGGCAACTGAAACCTTGGCTATGGATGGCTAAAGAGCAGGGCGTGCAAGAGCAAAAGATGACCTCAGCAGTCTCCATATGGCTATCCACTGATGCTCAAAGAACAGGGTACCCTCAACAGAAATAGTAGATTGATTATTCAGTGCAAGAATGGCAGGGTCCACATTGGGAACAGACAATTTCTTGCGAAACGCTACATCCATAGGATACAAGGCGTTAGTAAGGGTGTATAACCATTCAGAGTATGGCCAATCATTGTACAGATCCCAGCTTGCCTGAACAAGGGTAGGAAAAGGCTTTCTACAAAATGACCTCTTCCTGTGCTTTTAAGAACATGGAAGTGGAGGAGGAGGCTGCCTCAATCAATGCGTTCATAGTAGACACTATAAGGCAGGAAGCTATAGGGGTTGCTCCTCAAAATTGTTTCAGTGGCAGAAAACAAGGGAGGTGCTGACTTTTTAGCAAACGCAGGTCCAAATTTCTCACTGCCAGTGAGCTAGGCAAATCTGGTTGTAGCCCATGGAAATAGTCGGGGGGGGGACGGGACTCTTTGGAATAGACCAGACATAGTGGCAGAGAATTCAGCTTTAGTCAGACAGGCCTAATGCTGTGCGCATTGAAGAGAAATTCAAGGAAAGGACCCCCCTTAAGGAAACTACCCTAAAAATGGATTGAATGTGATAGGAGACCATTTTGAATAGCAGCTGCCCTGATTGCAAACATTACACTGAAATAAGCCATAAGTGCACTCCAATAATTTGTGCATATCAGGAATCTAGAGAAATAGCTATATCTGCAAAACAGACACTGTCCTGCAAATTCAAAATTTTATGCAAAACTTACACTTTAAGATGTAAAATATACTTTGATCATTGACTAGCTAAAACATTTTAAGAAAAGAAAAAGTTAAGTTATAACAATTCTACCCACCACTGTTCTCATCTGCTGTGCCATCTAACTGAGGTATAGAAAGATTTGCTAGAAGCAGCTTGTTACTACTCCACTCCATTTCACTGTCTGATGAGTCTTCTTCAGATGAGCTGCCATCAGTGTTCTTAACAAGACTAGAAAAGAGGATGAAAAAGGAAAGTACAGATCACTCAGGTAGAAGACTTCAAGAACATAGACACTGTTTTAGACTGGTTTAAATTAAATGAGAAATATACCATCCAAAATGAATCATGCACTACTGAAGGTTGCATATGTTATCACCAATTCATTTTACACAGGAAGTGTCCACATTCAGTCATATACAGGAACAATTGGGTAATGTAAACACAATAAACTTATCTTATTTGCTCCCTTTTGGTCTGGTAAATTATTCATTATTTATTTATTACAAGTACTTATATAGCGCCATCAATTTACACAGTGCTTTACATTTATATATATTGTACATTCACATCAGTCCCTAACCCTCAAGGGGCGAACAATCTAAGGTCCCTAACTCACATTCGTACATACACATACTAGGGCCAACTTAGACAGGATCCAATTAACCTGCCAGCATGTCTTTGGAGTGTGGAAGGAAACCGGAGTACTCATAGAAAACTCACGCAGGCACAGGGAGAACATGCAAACTCCAAGCAGGTGGTGCCGTGGTTGGGATTCGAACCGACGACCCTAGTGCCAGGTGGAAGTGCTAACCATTTAGCCACTGTGCTGCTGGTAAATATATAATCAAATGCTTTTTATTATAGCCATACTATAAGTACAGAAAATACCTGTAAATCCTGTCAGAAATATTGTAAGCCGATAACCTGAAGCAGACACCTGGTTCCAATGGTGTGTGTGTGTGTGTACACACTAAACAATTTATTTCAAGCTTCTTTAACCACTTGCCAACCCCACTATAGCCGAATGACGGCTACAGCGTGGTTGTCCAGTTCTGGGAGGGCGTCATGTGCCAATCATGGGAGGCCAATCACAGCAACCTTTTACCACGTGATCAGCTATGTCCAATGACACAGCAGATCACCAGTAAATGCAGTTGCCGGTTATCGGCTGTCACAATGTGAGGAAAGTACTGCCGATAACCAGCAATTGTCAGAGGACAGCTCGGCACCAATCATCAGGGCACTGATGATCAATGCCACCCACCAGTGCCACCCACCTGTGCCAAGCAGTACCGCCAACAAGGGTAGAGCAGTGCCACCCACCTGGGCCCAGCAGTGCCCCCCATCAGTGCTGCCTATAAGTGCCCATCATTGCTGCATATCATTGCAGCCTCATCAGTGCCTATCAGTGCAGGCCTCATCAACAAACATCAGAGAAGGAGAAAAATGACCTGTTTGCAAAAATTTATGTAGAAACAAAGAAAGAAAAATTTTTTTTCAAATATTTTGCTATTTTGTTTCTTTATAGCGCAAAAAATAAAACACCAAGTGGCGATTAAATACCACCAAAAGAAAGCTCTATTTATGTGAAAAAAAATTATAATTTCATATAGGTACAGTGTTGCATGACAGCGCAATTGACATTCAAAGTGCGACATCGCTGAAAGCTGAAAATTGGCCTGGGCAGGAAAGGGGCATAAGTGCTCGGTAGGCAAGTGGTTAAACCACACTTGATTACTTTTTCAACAATTTTTTGGTTTCACGTTTTCGAGTCTTCTGAGCAAATGAAAGTCTATATGCAACTGGGATAGATGAAAAGTTGCCTAGGGCTCCCTATAGCTGTTCCATAATATCCATAGAAAACAGGATTCCAAGCATTTCAAGCAATTGCAGGAAAAAATGGGTTGTTGGTCTTGGCAGTCTTTTACTCTCTTGTAGTGTAGCTTTTTGTGTTACCCCCTCCTTTAGCTTCTGCCACTGGCCCTTTTACATAGAATGTTTATGTCCTCACAAGGAAGCAGCATTTTCTCACTTTCTATCTACATCAATTTTAATGATGGAAAAGTTTCTGAGTAACTCTAGATACCAGCATGGTACTAAAAATGCCATACATCAAACACATGAAAGGGTCAAGTTTTTGCTGACTCTTATTGGCACTATGCAAACAAACATGGGTCCAGTGTTTGGCAAGACCTCATCTAAAACTATGGGGATAGATTTACATTTTAATGTAAATCCTTCTCTTTTCCACTCTGCAACTGACCACTGCTATAACAAAATCACACCCCTGTCCTGTCCCAACCTAGCCACCTCTGTCTACAACAGTTCCCTTTCAACCACGCTGGATTCACTTGCTCCTCTCACTGCACAAAGTATCAGGCCCCGGCCATTACCACCTTGGCAGACTGATGACACCAGAAATCTTAAGCGACAATCGTGCACTGGAGTGATTGTGGTGTAAAACCAAATCCCGGCAAGCATTCACTCTATATAAATCTGCCTTCCTTAAATACAATTCCACCCTCCATGCTGTCAAACAAGCCTACTATGTTATTCTCATTAATACTCTGCCATCCAGTCCTTGTCTCTTCTCTACTTTCTCCACCACCTTCACCCAGTACCTCAATCACTGCTCATGAGATTGCCAATCACTTCACAAACAAAATTGCTCTAATTCATGAGGACATCTCCACTGCACAGATATCTATCCCACTTAATATACCCTGCACAAAACTACCCTCAACACTTACCTCTTTTGACCTTGCTACTACTAAAGAGGTTGCTAATGTTTTCTCAGAAGCTCGCCTTACCATCTGTCCGCTGGACCCCGTTCTCTCACAGCTACAACTACTATGGTCACCCTCCTCTTCTATCCTATGCTCCTTCACTCACATCCTCAATCTCTCCCCATGTACTGGAACCTTCCCCTCCCTTCTAAGGCTGCATTCACACTTGAGTGATTTGTAGCTTGAAGCTCAAAGCTCCAAAACTGCTCAAACTTAAAAAAATCTATTGTTCTCTATGGTGCCTGTTCACACCTGATCGCAGGATTAGGCACCATAGAGAACAATTGATATTTTAAGTTTGAGCATTTTGGAGCTTCAAGCTTCAAATCGCTCAAGTGCAATTGCAGCCTAAAACATGCCCTGATGACCCCTAAAGCTCTCACTGGACACCACCAGCCTGACAACTTAAGATCCATCTCTTTGTTCCAGTTTACCTCTAAACCTTTAGATCACTTATTCTACCACCATCTGAGCTCTTAGCTTGCTGAAAACAACCTTCTTGATAATCCTTTACAGTCTGGCTTTCACTTACTACTTGCCATTGAAACTGCCCTACTAAAACTCACTAATGATATACTAACTTCTAAAACCAATTGCCACTACTCCATACTCACACCACTAGACCTCTGTGGCCTTTGATACTGCTGACCATCCACTCCTCCTCAAAAAAGTCCACTGTTGGCATTTGAGACTCTGCTCTCTCTTGGTTCACCTACCTATCACTGTCAGTTGTTACCTATAACTCGGTCTCCTTCTCTCCACCTCCTATTTCTGTAGGGGTCCCCCAAGGTTCTGTCCTCAGACCCCCGCTCTTCTCCATCTACATTGGTCACTTGATAAACTTCCAGTACCATTTCTACGCTGATGACACCCAAATCTATCTCTCAACCCCTCACCTCACTCTTTCAGTCTCCTCTCGCATTACAAACTTACTAACCACCTGCCCTCCAGAAGAATTACCCCCCTTCATGAGTAGGCCATTTTTTGCTGTTCGTCACAGCGCTATTTCAACTGCTAATTGTGCGGTCGTGCAATGTTGTACCCAAAAAAATTTGTCCTTTTTTTCACACAAATATAGCTTTCTTTTGGTGTTATGTGATCACCTCTGCGGTTTTTACTTTTTGCGCTATAAACAAAAAAAAAAAAGACTGAAAATTTTGAAAAAAACTCGATATTTTTCACTTTTGGTTATAAAAAATATCCAATAAACTAAAAGTTAGTCATACCTTTAGACCAAAATATATTCTGCTACATGTCTTTGGTAAAAAAAAAAAAAAAAAAAAAAAAAAAAATCTCAATACATGTACAGGTATACCTCGGTTTATGAATTTAATTTGTTCGGCGGAATTTTTTGTATAGCGTTTACCACGCATTGAAAACCAATTAATCCATTCCTGAGGTCAGAAAAAAGTAAACTGTACTAAAATACCGCATGAGTTATTTTATCAAGTCATGAGGTATTTTAGTAGTGACAACCATGTGTTAATGGTTCAGCTGTCAGTGTGGATTCCCCACTGACAGCTCAATGTAAAAGAATTGCCGGCAATTAAAAAAAAAAAAAAATAAACGGCGCGGGTCCCCCCTTCCATCCATACCAAGCCCATCATTCGAATGACCCCGCTCGCTCGTCCTCCCGTCCCCCCCTTTCCTGACCTGCGGGGCTGCATGCTCGGATAAGGGTCTGGTAAGGATTGTGGGGGGAACCCCCACAGCATTTTTAATTTTAATTTTGGCGTGGGAGTTCCCCTCAATTCCCCTGCCATTTTTTAAATTTATTATGGTGCCGGTTTTTAAATGTAATTACCGCTTTATTTTTCTTCACTACAACTCAGAGATTCAGCTGTCACTTTTCCCCAAGTTAAAAGAAACAACGTTTCCTTTTAGTTTCTTAAAAGAAACAAAGCTTCCTTTAACTCTGGGGAAAGTGACAGCCAATTCTGTGAGCTATAATGCAGTAAAAAAAAAGCCGGCAAGTGCATTTAAAAATCGGCACTGACATACACTTCCTATTGTGAAAAAAATTCATAAAAATTTGTAAACTGAGGCATTACTTTCAATGGATTTTCATTCGTAAACAGAAAATTACGTTAACCAAGGCGTTTGTAAACCGAGGTACACCTGTATATTAACTGGTTTGTGTGAAAGTTATAGCGTCTACAAACTGTGGTATATATATTGGAATTTACGTAGCTTTTACTTTCCGACTGCCTATCATTTTTTGAGGTGCTAAAATGCCAGGGTAGTACAACCCCTCCACCCCCCCAAATGACCCCTTTTTGGAAAGTAGACACCCCAAGGATTTTGCAGAGAAGCATGTTGAGTCCATGGAACATTCTATTTCTTGCCACAAATTTTTTTAAAATCAATTTTTTTTTCTTTAATGATATATTGCTCATGCATGCCATGGGTATATGTGGAACAACACCCCAAAACACATTCTTC